GCAGTGTGTAATCATTGCCACTCGGGAGACAAAGGCGACCAGGTGTGGTGCTGGCCACCCACACCCTCATGGATCTTGCCGGCCTTCATAGGTGCTCACTAACAGCATTTGCCCCACAAATTGTTAGGCTATAAGCGGAACTTTGTCTTTTATATGTGTGTATATGTGGGGTGCGGTGGCACAGTGGTTAGTGCGTTGCATTACAAAACAGAACAACCCGAGTTCAATTCCGGCTCGCCAATAACAGTAACGAGTATTTGAACCCGTCCTAGGTCGACTCAGGCTCAAATGAGTAGATACACCACTGGTGCGGTGCGTAAATTTTGCTACTGGGAAGACAAAGCTGGGCGTGGTTCTTACCACCCACCCCCTCCTGTGCTGTGCCGGCCTTCATAGGTGCTCGTTAAACGGGGGACCTCTGTCTATATCTTTGGGTCATTCCATATTCGTTTACCAATTACCTCCAGAATTGCCATCTCCATCTCCTTTTCTCCTGGCTTTTAGTAAACTGGAAAGAGACCAAATGCAATGCTGCAGTTCTATAGGACTATTAATTTGGTCAGAATGACCAATCAAACACGAGGGGTCAATCATATAAATTAAATGCGTTTGGGTGCATTTCACACTGGGATACTGCAAAAACAAATTAAGCGATGCTTCTGAAAGTTTTTTCAAATATTTACCTATTCGCTCACATCTAAAATTGCTTTTTTGAGAACACTGTTATCATTGCAGGTCCAGGAAAATCGATTGTACCTTAGCGAGTGAATACATTCTGATTAATATTTTTTCCGGTCCAGGTAATCACAGCTTCAATAATTTCGATTTTTTTTTAACATTGTATGGACACATTTGCAAAGAGAGATAAAGTCATGAATTTTGGAGAAATATTGGGCAAAGTAGGGGCACATAAAATTAGGGTCAGATGCCAACAGCTAAAGAATGACCATGAACAGATAACAGTAAACCAGTGATATTCAAGCCGATTAAACTGTAAAAATGGCATGTGGCCTATTTCTATAGGGCTTAAGCCTAGGACAAATGGAGAAAATAAATGGAGGTGGTGATACTCGAAGGTTGTTGATATCCAGGTAGTCTTCCATTGATTGACCCTTATATATAACATACAGATGGTCATTTAATTTAACCTGGTTGCTTAGCAAACGAGGTTGTGACTTTTGTCCCGTCTGTATTTTTGATTTGCACCCAGCAGACCCAAGTGGTTTGTTGTGACCTCTATGACGAGTCATTTGAATTGCTGGCTTTCATCAAATTATCTCATAGCAGCCACTTCTGACAGTGGAGCTAGATAATTAGTTAACGAATCAGAGAACAATAAAGAGGGCTCTAAACATATTTTTTATTCCCCAATATATAAGAATAACACACGATAAAACCTCAATTGATGGAGAACAAAGCAGGGGAGGTAAACCGGTTTAGCCATGTTGTGTGCTGTGTATATATATGAGTGCTTCTGAAGCCTCGTTCTCTGTACCCTGAGCTTTCTGCACTCGTTACGGGTCACGCTGGCAGGTGTGTGTGGTGCAGGGTAGTGGCACAACAAGGTGGTGGTTAAACTGCATGGATGTCATGCTCGGGTGCGATGCGGGCAGTGCCTGTAAATTTCTGCAAAGCCGGGCTTATTGGCGTGCACTCTGCTGTAATTGGGGACCCTTTGGGACTCTCCCGGTGCCTGCGAGTATCTGCTTCTGGGGCCTCTCCTGGGACCGTTTCCATGGGACATCTCCTCCCTACACGGAGCCTTGGCTGCCCTGTTGGTAAACAAGCTGTCAGGGCCAGGCAAGCGAGTATTCATTTCTCGCACAACAACAGCAGCGGATGCTGTTTCTGTGTAACGTCGCTGACTATCGGGCGGTCAGTCCATAATCATTGTTTAACTAAGAGATTGAATTGAGCTATTGAGACACATGGAAGATTCAAGTTGAGTCCAAGTGATTTATTGCTCAAATTAACATTGAGGTTGAGCTCATCTCCTGTTTATAGCCCCGAGCCAGTTATAGGAAATGCCACATTCCTATGATGGGGGCGAGTATATCCATAGGAACCCCACCGTTGAGAACCACTTCCCCATGAAGTGGTATATATTTTATCCACCCTGGAGGTAAGAATGATGGGCCAAGTCAACCCCCAACCAGGATATGAACTTGCAGTCTTCCAGTTGCGAGCTGCTCATTGTACTGCTGAGCCACCTGACCGGTTCACACAATTTTTAAAGAAAACATTGTAAAGGTAATACATCGGAACTATGTGTAACAATAACTTAAAACCCTACTTGAATAAGGCTATGTACAGAAATTGAAGAATGTGAACATTCTTGAAACATTTTATGACACAAGTAATATCGTTTCTTGAAGCAGAACAGTGAGATCAGGGAAGAAGAGGCAATGGAGAATATTGAGATATACATAACAACCACGTGATTATTTTAACGTCTCTCACAGTTTGGAGATGTAAATTAACATACTGCTACGTGACTGCATCATTGAAAGCTATATTTTACTTGATCCTCACACGAATGAAGCTAATTTATTGAACTGGATATTTGGTGGCACATTTCGTTTTTGCTTTCGAATAAAAATACGTAAAGTAATTGTGCTAATGTAGAAGGCGTTTGCTTAGCCTCAGAACCAGCACCACGGTTGTCTGAGTGACAGTCTCCCCGTGTGTCTCTTGAGTAGCTCGCTGTCACTTGTGTGTTATGTATTACACACAAATCTTGCGCAGGTCAGTGGTCGTCCCCTCCAGGATTGCTGTCACTACAGTTCAGCTCAGGGTGCTGGCACAGATTATTCATGAGGCTCTTTGGAAGTCTGCCATTTGCCATGTCCCTTCTGGCAGGGGTTGTTTCTTCTTGTTCACAGAATAACATTGCATTATCTTCAGCAGCGGCTGGTGATATTTTAGTAAATTATTTACTGTAACATTTAATAACATACTGAATTTGAGCATGGCATTACATTCGAGTTTTGCAGAATTGATATGACTGACATTGCATCTTCTATTTTAAAGAAAATGCTCTGTGATTTACATTCTCTTGAACAGCGCTGTTATTTATTTGTTGTTATCTGCTGGTGGAAGTACCCCTCATCGTCGCTGAGCGACGGCCTGGCCGTAGCCCCAACATCCCCATCTCCGCACCCCCGGGTGCCCCCTCCCCCCTCGCGCGTAACTCCCAAGTCGCCTTCTCCCGCACCCCGCACCAGCCGGGCCCCTCCTCGTGAACCCTTCCCTCAGCCTCACCAACCCACAGGCCTCCCACGTATCCCACCTGCATGCTTCCCATAGGGCCCCCATGCCCCCACGAAGCCCCTACTCTTGCACCGGGCACCTGCATACCCCCTCCCTTTCAGTCCAAATACTGGGGCCCTCCCTCTGATGCTGGGCTCTACACACCTGACCAACCTGCGCTGGTCAAGGCGTGTTGTTTGGGCTCAAGCCAATCAGAATGCTGGGAAATGACTGACGGTCATTGTTTTCTTTTATAACATTCAGTTTTTATTTGAAGCTTTCGTGACTGCAGGAATCCATACTCTTTGGTTCTTTAGGTAAAGTCACGTAGGTATAAAATAAAATAAATCACGACGTTTCGGACGCAACACAAGCGTCCGTCATCAGGTGGGATGATGATAGACGCTTGTGTCCGTCATCATCTGTTGCGCCCGTGACTTTACCGAAAGAACCAAAGAGTATCGATTTAAAGCTTTCATGACTGCAAGGATTCATCTTCTTTGGTTCTTTCGGTAAAGTCACGTAGAATGAGAATAAAATAATAAAATAAAACAATAAAATTCTCACGACGTTTCGGCCACAACAAGACAGTTTTTTGTTCCTTCACCTGAAGAAGGCTGCTTGTGTTGTGGCCAAAACGTCGTGAGAATTTTATTGGTTTATTTTATTATTTTATTCTCATTCTACGGGACTTTACCGAAAGAACCAAAGAAGATAAAACCAAAGAGTATATATTCAGTTTTGCATTACACTAAGACCCATATTTAACAGAGGGGGTCCTTATATAAATATCTAGCATTTCACCAGCATTGGTGTCACCAAGCCTGACTGTGCCGATGAGAGACTGAATATTAAATCCGGTCCAGAGTTTGCTTCGTTAAGCTAATGTGACTGAAAAAAATGCACCTCCAGAAGCCTGTGTGGCTGATGGGATGTATTAAAATTACATATTCATTTTGTTACTTATATTCTCCATAATGATGCTCGTTATTATTTTGCTCTATCTTATTTGATTCTCGTAAGAGACTTGTATAATTTCATAGGGATAGAAATGGGTCGTGATACCTATTGTTATCCCTGTTAGTGCTTGTTCAAGTTTAAAACTCATCTTTCAAGTTCTTTCTTTCGGGGACCTCCAATTCCTTTAACTCTTTGTGTCAAGCCCCAGGTTTGCATGGAAGTAAGGATTTCTGGACATCTGTGAGAAAGAGCTTGATAGCTCATCAGATTCCTCCAGTCTAAATAAGATTCTGCTTCTGAAAGGACACACAGAGGTTCTTGGTCGCTCTGTCTCCTCGGGTTTCAACTGCGAGTAGGCCCAGGGGCACTTAGCTATGACTGTTGGGAAATGTACAACATAGGGTGGGCCTTGGGCATACTACAGATGATCCAACACTGACAAATGCACTCCAGTCACTGCATTGTGTAGCAGAAGTAATGGTCATTCAGAGTTAGAGCATTTATTACAGACAAGAAAACCAAGCTTCTTTGATGCCTCCTTACCCAAATTCGTTATACAGCCGTTCCTGTGGATGAGACTTGTGCCAAGCAGATGAATGGTTTTACTCTGGATAAGAATATCTTTGTTATATATGATGACAGAAACTGTAGAATTGACAGACTTACGTGATATTATGATTGTCTGGCACTTGTATTTGGAAATGCTCGAGCTGGATCTGCCGATGATGAATGTGTCGATGAGCGTGACGGGTCTGACGGGTCTTCACGCACGGTGTCCGCTTGTGCCGCAGCCGGAGCGCCCACAAGTAGGCAGTGCGGCAGAAGAAGAGGATCGCTTGCTTTCCCCTGACGGTTCCCGCGAGTTCCTGACGCTCCACATCCCCCTGCACGACATGGGCGCTGCGAGCCTCGGGGTCAGTGTCAAGGGGACCAAGGATCGCCGAACAAACGCGGATCTGGGCATTTTCATCAAGACCATCATCGCGGGAGGGGCAGCTGCCAAGGTGTGCCAGCATGCTGGTGCACAGCACACTGGCGCACAGCCCGCTACAGCACGCTACGCCATGAAATCAGTGCACAAACATAAATAAAGACATTTTATTGTCTACCATTACATTTAGGTTGTCTGTTCTTGCAACTTAAAATTAAGTTAAAATTAAGTTTCAAGAACATCAAATTACATTTAGGTTGTCTTTAAATAGACAAAGGCAGCATGGTAGTACAGTAATAACTCTCGTGCCTCAGAGTGTGAAGAACCAGGGTTCGATTCCTGACTCGGGGAATTTTCAGTGCACGGGTTTCCTCTGGGTCCTCCATTTTGTATGTATTTTGAACTTTCGCACCGTATGTAGCCAACCGTGCTAATCGGAGTTTCCTCCTACAGCTACTAATCCACCACACTGTCATTGGTGTTGGCCAAATATCCCAATGTAGCAGGATCCGCCTGAATAACAGTCTTCGGACTCAGCGTGGCTTTCTTAGGTAAATGAGTATATGCTTTTGTCGGTACAGCACATTGCTTTTTATGGCACACTAATTGGGCTCCAGATTCCACCCTAAAAATGTGCTGCTTTATAAGACAGTTGTGGCGCAGGTGTTGGCACTGACTTGTGTGCGTGGCTCTCATTTAGGATGGGCGCCTACGTGTGGACGATCAGCTGATCGCCGTGAACCGCGAGTCGCTGCTCGGTCGGTCCAACTTGGAGGCCATGGAGTCTCTGAGGTGCGCCATGTCCCGCGATGCCGGCGACCCCTCGCTTATCCAGCTCGTGGTGGCTCGCTCGCTCGGCAAGCCAGGACCGGTGAGCGTGGGCTCCTGCAGGAGATGCGGGCGTGGAGATCAAAGGAAAAATATAACAACAATCTCGGATTTTCGTCCTGCTATTGCTATTCTCATAATTACTGTTTCCGTGAACTTCACTCGTGAAAACATTGGACAATCACAACTTGTTTTAGATCCATTACGGTCATCCTCGTGGCGGCTTTGGCTAGGCATCGAACAAAGACGGTCAATGCATCGCGCACTTTCAGATGTGCTTCTGCAGCCGTCTGGAACGCTCTTCCAATATTAGGAAGCCACTGGAGTGAAACACTTTTAAATCATCTAGATTGAAAACTCATTTATTTAGAACTGCTTTTTGTGTTTCGTTTGTTGTCCTTTCCCCCGCACCTCTGATTAGCACAAACATACATGCATAGATATTCCATAAGGCACCGCTCTCCATGGCTTAGACTCATCTCATTACACGCTGCCTCTCATGTGGCCCTGTAGACGGAGGTGGAGTCACACGCGCCTGGGTCAGCGGGGAACACGGCGGAGGTCAACGAGCGCCGGGTGTCGGCCACGCAGAGCCCCGTGGCGGCTCCTGACCTGGGGCCCGTCGACAAGTCTGCTAAGCCGGCGAGCACAGGTCCAAGCACAGTGGGCACATGCACAGCAAGCACAAGCGCAGCAGGCACAGCTGACTCCTCTGTGCTCCAACAGACAGCGCACACAGCCAGAAGTACAGCTCTGCTTTGGCTGCCTCCCACTAGATGAGGGGCGGTCGCCATGTGCATTTTGCAATAAAACGAGTAATTCCCTTGGAGTGAACCATGCACAATGCAATCAGAGGTGAAGGTAAAGGTGCAGCCACGCATTTCCTGGCTCACACCACTACTTGTAAAAAGGCCTTCACCAGAGTGAGCTCTCGAGAGCCCCTCTAGAGGGTATTTTGTAAACTCTTTCATGCTTACCGGATGTGTTAGTGTACCCACACTTTACTCAATTACACACAGCCTGTGCATTGTCTGTGCTGTACCCATTCATGGTGCTGGGTGGACAAAAAGGTAGGGTGGATTTAATAAATCTTTATCAGTTTCAACTGCCACGCCAGGGGATGGGTTCGAACTGGTGACCTATGGATTGCCAGTCGAGTGTCCTAACCATTACACCACGGCAGCTGCCCTACAATGCAGTTGTCTTAATCAAATTAATCCTGGGCAGCAGATGAATTGCTCTTTGCTTTACGGGTGACAGGAGCCTGGCAAGGCACAACTGACCGGGATGACTTGGGTGGCCAGGAGAGGAAGGCACCACAGGCCCGGAGCGTCCCCTGGGAGCCTGGCACCAGCAGCACACAGGGGTGAGACGGCGCAAGTGTGTAGTCTGCACGCTCGCACACAGGTTCAGCCTGAAAATAGGTGAGAATACGTGAGTTAATTAGTAACTGAGAAGTTTCCCTACTTGGTGATTGCGTGATTGTTTTTTGTTATTGTATTTAATGAAGGAGCTGTCTCCGCAGGCAACTGGACCCAGCGCTGGCCTTTCAGCGGGAGGGATTTGGCCGACAGAGTGTATCGGAGAAACGCACCGTGCAGTATGGAGACCCCAGCCACCTGGAGGTGCTCAAGGCACGCAAGTCCAAGAGCATGGACATGAGTGAGTGTTTGGGCGTTACTGCACAATTCTGGACAGCCCACAGCATAGTGAGGGCATGCCCATCTACCTATTCTGTGTTCAGTGTTGTCATTCATTTATGTAGCTTAATGTGCTAATACCTTGTCCCTTATACACAAATATCTGGAAAATAAGTAATAAAACATATTCCAAGTCAGTGTGATACAGGGCTGTCTTTCCATTCCAGGTTGAAGCATAGGGTTTTGTACAGGTAATGATGTAGAATTAGGCATTGCTCTATTCCTTTCTGCAGAGTGCATGCATTTTATTGGTGTTAGCAGAGCAACAAGCAAAGATAAGGCCATACAGAATATTATTTTTTAATCTGGTGTAATTGGCTCTTGGAATGACTGTTTTTATAGTGCACTTTCAGCTATAATATGAGCTTGTAAATTAACAAGTATAAAGTGCTGCCACAGCAAGCCATCTCCTAGCAGCCACAGTGCCAGCAGGGCCCGCTCTCTAAAACGCTATCATCAGAGTCATCCCAAGCTGTCATAATTATCACTTCTTCGTTGAAGTAATCTGTAGACTATGCCCCCTGGGGCGATGTCGTATCGGAGAGGATTGCACTCTTGTTGGTCCTTAACTGAAAACACTCATAACTGCCCTGTATGGATTTGTGTAACGTCACTGCAAGCCTTGCACTGGGTGCAAGGCGTATCGCGGCTAATGAACACACCCAGATAGCAGCGGCCAAAATTGATTGTCGCACCGTGAAGCGAGCTTGAATTTAAGTGACCCCTTTTCGTATTTGCTGAAATTTGGTGTTGACCAAACATGCCATTATAGGACTACAGAGCTTGGGCAATTATTGGCACCAGTTCTTACTGCTGTCCCACTTGACTGGTTTCCCTCACCTCTGAATCATTATCTCTCTTTAAGAGTGAGTGAAAACTCATCTTACAATATTAAAAGATACTACTGTACCCTGAAGGAGGTTGTCTCAATGTTACATGGACTACTCCGCTCTTCTTATTTTCCACATCACTGGTTTATTAAACTGTCTTTGTCAATCCTAACTCAAAACGGCTTAGGGCCTTTAGTTTATGATCCAAACAGCGAATATCGTGACCTCATTAATAGAGCCTGTTGTACTTTTCCTTGCATGATTGTTGTAAGTAACACTATATTTGCATGTCTAGTTGGCTCTATATATTGCTCGCCATGGTTTTTGTACTCGTGCTACTGCTGTGATTCTAATGAACATACACAGCATGGGTCTTAAAACTGTAAGAATATTTCCCTTTTGTCAAACGTGGGCACTGAATCTGAACAGAGAAATTATTATTTGTAGTAACTGAAATGCGGTGGAAATTACTAAACGTTTCTCTATCAGTAAACTTGGATATTTAACATGTTTTAAAGATTACATGCCCAGTAATAAATCGTGTAAGTAGAATAGAACAGTTGAACTGTTGAATACATAACACAAACTAATCATAATCGTCATTTTGGAGAATGTAACTCAAAAAATAAATGAGCAGACAATTTGCCTCCTTCCCATATCGGTCCCTCCATATAAAAATATAAAGTATATTTTACAATTATGCACTCCCAGAATGCTGTGTGGGTCACTGGATGCATACAACATACTTTTTTAGTTCTTGTGGAAGGACAGATTTGTGAAGGTGGGTTGTCTGCTTGTTTATTGTGGACATTTTATGATTTTGTTCTCTTTCCTAAAACCAATGTAATGATGACCCCTCACGTGAAATCGTAGGAGCGATGCAGGTGTTTGTGCAGAATGGCTCCACTTACTCGACTAACCCACCTGCTCGCCCCCTACCCCCGCAGTCGCAGACGAAGGTAGCGTGCATGCGTCTGCTGAAACACGCAAAGGTGAGGCAATGGCTGGTAGTTTACTTGTAGATGCACAAGCCCTTGCTGATTGCCTGCCTATTCACCCGGATAGTGCTCAAGTGTGGGCTTAGCAGCGTGCGATTCATGGTGATTCTTATTGAATTTGCCACTCGTTGCTTTGCATCCGTCAGTGCATGTGTGTACGTATGAATGGATAACACATACACACCACATGCCTAGAGTGGGCTCCCTGCATTTTTCAGGCTTGTGATTTCATGTCTATCTTTACATGGTGTTTTTTTCCGTGAGTGACATGTATTGTCTATTTTTTTCTTTCTTTTCATTTTGTAGCAATATTTTTTACTTCAGCATATTGAGTACTCCATGGGTTATTGTGAAAAGCATTCTCCTCCGGTTATTATCTCGCCTGCTCTTAAGCCTTCAGGCACTGTGAGCCTACACACAAGAGAAAGGAGCCTCTGTAAGTGCAGTTTGCTGTAGCGGAGATCTCGCCACACGACCAAACGAGAGGCACGTGCATCTGCGATTGAATACAGACGCTTACCAAGAATGCTTTGGCCTTACAAAATAATTTCTTACAAGATTGTTCATGGTGTAATGGTCAGGTCGTCAGTTCGATTGCTTCTCAGCACAGCAGTTAAAACAATGGAGTAAGTTTCTGAAATCCGCCCCTCACTGTTGCCCACCCAGCAGTGTAAATGGGTTCACCCCAGTCAGTTGATCTGCAGATCATCTGTGGTGGGGTAAATTGTGGGTACACCCACTTCTTCAAATATGCCTGGTCAACGTGGAAGAGTAGACCAAATACCCTCAAAGTTTGCTCGAGCCGAGGCCCTTCAGGCATAAGCAGGAAATTCCAGTGCCGCACATTTACCTCGACCTCTTAACAGTACCAATAGAATAGGCCAGTGTCAATGAGGAGTGGTGTTCGTGAAAAGTCTGAGTTAAAGCATGTAATCATCTCTAGCAGCATGCTTATCCTGTATGGGCGCTGCTGCTGGCAGACACTCATTTATTTATTGCATTAGGGCTCTTTGCAGGGGATGTTCGTTGGGGTGTGGCGAAGCGTGAAGGAATCCTCGGGTTTTGTAGGTCTCCGTAAAAACATTTTCCTGTAAAATCCCAGCGAGGGTTCAGCAACTGGTCACTCGGCAGAAGAATCGCAATGACAGTGCCCGTGTCTGCTCAAGGGGAAGAAATGGAGCACCTCGATGGTCTTGTGCTCTCCAGGTCGTTCTGTGAAAGTTGTTGAAAATTAGAAGTGTGGTTCACTTTACTTCACTTGATGAGGGTTGCAGTCCCCGCAAAAGCTGCTGAGTCAGTTTTTTTAGGCCAAATCATGTTACATCCATGTTTATTTTTCCGTAACATTATTTGGCTGTGAATGTTTTTTAAAATTAATTTGTCCTTGCCAACTTGCATTACAGGAAATATTTTTATATTGGCTCATATTTGTGCACTGTTTTCAATTTCTTCTGTAAAATGTGTTTGTGCTGATTTATATTTGCTTCTTTTTGCTCTAATTTTTATTTGGCTGTTTTTGCTCCGAATTTTATTCGGTTGTTTTTGCTCTGATTTCTATTACGTAATTTCTTTGTTGTGCTTTTGTAATTTTGTTGACCCAGGTCACTCTTGCAAAGGAGACTCCTGTCCTTGTCTTTTAATTTACACCTGGTTAAACAAAATACACTAGAAACTTGTCTTTATCCACAATATAAGAGCCACGTTATGCATGCCGATGTGCACGGTTCACGAATGCGACCAAGCCGAGCCTCAAGTTGCCACTACTGCTGTGTCGTCGTGCGCCCCGTGGGCTCTACAGGTCCCTCAGACGGCTCCGTTGGGCCAGCCTTGGGCCTCAAGATGAGCAGCTCGCTGGAGAGTCTGCAGACAGCTGTGGCCGCGGAGGGTGGCCACGCTGAGTTCCTCTTCCACCGGCCGCGCCCCCCCCGTCTCATCCGCGGCCGTGGCTGCAACGCGAGCTTCCGTGCGGCCATCGACAAGTCGTATGACACGCCCCAGGATGGCAGCGACGATGACGATGATGAGGATGACGAGGAGGAGGAGGATGCAATGGACACTGGTACTTTGGCAGAAAATATTCGACAACTCTAAATAGGGCGCCCAGTTTATTGTTATGTTCATACCAAATTCCTTGAACTATTCTAACGATTTTCTCATATGTGTTTCATTACCATTGTAAGTAACCGTACAACATGTCGCACTCGAGTGACAGGAGAAACTGTTTATTGTGTTTTTTAAGCAGGTGAGAACTCAAGAGACCAGCATGGTCCATTTGCAAGAATGACCTTGGTCACCAAAATGACAAACACAAGAACGTAGACACTAGTACAGCAATGGAGCAAATAGATATCAAATCAAGAACAACTGCATTACAGAAACTCGAAAATGCTGCATAAATTTAAATCAATATGAAATTTAAGTATTTTTTTTTAAATGAAAGTTGACTAGAATAATTTACATTTAGAAACTTCCTAGTAAAATTAAGTTCCTGAAATAAAAAAAAAATGGATTTGGAGTGATTGTCACAACAGCGTGTAAACAGACAAGATTATATTAAAATACCAAATAGACACCTATTGCAAGATATCAACTCTGCATTAACCGCACATGCTTGTGGTAAAATATGCAAACAAAGTTGCTCTAATAATATATGCATTGTCTGTGAAACTGATTGGCCTACACCAAAGACAGCCTTCTTTATTGTCTTGTCCCACCAGTGTTAGACCAGAGAACACAAAAAGGCGAACATTTCCAAAAGGAATGCGCCAATATCAATGCATTAATAGCTTGGATTTCCAGAAATGTTAAAGCCTATTCTACTTTTCATCAGTTTTATACTGGCAAAAAGGTCCCATAGATAGACAAGAATATATGTCTAATACAATTGCAAGTGAAGTTATCAAACTTTACACTGTAGTTCTTTTCTGTGTGTGTTCTGGCAAGTACTCGGGTTTCCTCATTGACTTTCAGTAAATGTAGGTGATGTGTACATTTATGAAATGTGGACCATGGTACTAGTGTACACGCATCACAGTATGTGTCTCCTATGTTGTCTGTGACACGTTCATCCTACCCTTCAGAAAGTCTGAGCCAAGGTTGGATTTCAAAAAGTCGAATCCTTACAGTCTGCCTCATTAGCAAGCATACAGTACAGCTACACTGCCATATTTAATTATTTCTTTGGCCATGTTGTATGTAGAGGTGACACTTGGTTTCTATAATCTGGCACATTCACTCCGAAGTAAACATGTTGATGATCAGTAACTGACTGCCTGTGGTTCGGAGTACATTGGGAGGAATTGTAACTTCCTGCAAATTCTCAGTGGAGGAAGAGGAGGAGGACCCGGAGGAGGCGGCCAAGGGCCTGGGAGATGGCGTTTCTGGAGCCCCCACCGGTCTTCCTGTCCCAAGCGGTAGCGCCAAGACCAAGCGCAGCTCTCCCAGGAGCAAAGACGCAACTCTGGAGTCTGGCGCAGCTGGCGACAAGGAGTGCAAGAAAGATAAGAAAGCCAAGAAGCTCAAGAGCCTTGGCATGGTGTTCAGGTAAGATCAAGATCATGGCCAGAGCCTTGGCATGGTGTTCAGATAAGATCAAGATCATGGCCAGAGCCTTGGCATGGTATTCAGGTAAGATCAAGATCATGGCCAGAGCCTTGGCATGGTGTTCAGGTAAGATCAAGATCATGGCCAGAGCCTTGGCATGGTGTTCAGATAAGATCAAGATCATGGCCAGAGCCTTGGCATGGTGTTCAGGTAAGATCAAGATCATGGCCAGAGCCTTGGCATGGTGTTCAGGTAAGATCAAGATCATGGCCAGAGCCGGCAATGCCACCACACCTCACCAACACTTTCTACCCTCCGCCAGATCCTGCAGCTGCTGTGAAGGAGACACACAACCTCCGAGGTCTGCTCTCCACGGTCTCCCACTATCTGCTCTTCAGACTTCCCTTTGGTCGCTATACTTGTGGAGACCATTCCAAAGCCTGTCTTGGCAATCGGCCCTCACCCATCCTGCCGAATCATATCTACGACCCTCATTTGCTGTGTTCTCTTCTGGACTTCTGCATTACTCATCTTGTCTTGCTAAGAAATTCCCTGTGTCCAACTTAAACACCTGGGCTCAAATGCAGCAACTTCATTTTGAGCTGCTTAAGATAAAGCTCTGTGATCTATACAGTGATATAGATATCAGGGAAGCTACCTAAATTTTAAGTTATCAGGTTAATGGCTGAATGTGGTTCATTCAAAAACACGTACATTGTCATAAATGTTGAGTGCATTGTAATGATGATTCCAGTCAAGTCACATCATATGCGCATGCACAAAGCTGGTGAAATTCTCTTCGTGGTGAATTCGATGCTTTTGAGCATTGTTTGTTTAAGTGGAACTGGTTAAAAGATAAAGAGGTTGGAGATATCTTCCTAAAGACGTGCACTTGCCTAGGTTTGGAAAAGTTAAGAAAGAGGACAAGAGTGAGCAGAAGAGTGGGGACAAGCAGAAGGTGGTGGACAACAAGACGGCCACAGAGGAGGAGAAGGAGAAGATGAGGGACGAGCAAGAGAGGTGTGTGTATGAGTGTGTGTGTGTGCGCCCCCATCACGCCCCGTTGCGCTTTAAGAGAAGTTGTAGAATCACTTCCTGAAGTAATCACATGGCATGTGTTTTTGAGTTTGAGAAACAACAAACAATGAAATGCAATAGAAGGTGGTACGATCCTAATCATATCTCCCCCAGGAAGTTTTGTCCATCTTGAACAAAGATATGAAAAGGAGTGTCTTCAACAAAGTTGTCCTTTTCTTTCTGTTTCTTCACTTGCACTGCTCCACTGTGCAATTCCATCGTGTCTTTTCCCAAGCTATAATAATCGTGCTTTATTCAAGAAACCTGTTGACTCTTACCCATTTCAACTATAATAGTGCTGTTTGATGCTGGCCACTTAATGTTTTAGGCCTTTGGGCCCTGCACCCAGCATTAACGTTATTTCTAGGTGCCTTTTCCACGAGCATGAAGTGCAGTTTGTGTCAGAAACCCTTGAACTTAGCCTTGGTGTGTGTAACAAAATAAATAACAGCCTATTCGCCTCCTTTACACATTCCATCAGTCACACGGCCTTCTGAGAGTGCATAATTTCAGCAGCATTGGTTCAGTACAAGCCACCTCTGGACCGGTATTGACATTCAGTGTCACCAGTCAGGCTCACTTGAACTAATGCTGGTGAACTGCCAGATGTTTCTAGGCGAGGAACTTCTCTGTTATATCTGGGTCCTTGTGTGAGTGAATGCTCCTGACATCTACGTGATCCGTGCACCATTGATCTGGCGTGGGCGAGTGCAGGATCCAGACAAAGCACAGGGAGATTCGCGAGCGGCAGGCTCGCGAGCTGAAGCTGCAGCAGGAGCGCGAGCAGCTCGCCGCTCAGTCGCGCGGCACGTCTGGCTACTACGAGGAGCACAACCCAGCCTACGCCAGCCTGGGTCCCTCCGCGTCACCGCCTGCTTTGCACAAACCACCCTACGTGAAGAACACCAAGGCCTATGCCAGCGAGGACGAGATCCGAGCCATGTACGCCAAAGTGAATAAGGCGGGTAGCCTGCCGAAGCCTGTCCCCCAGTCAGAAAGGTCAGTTTTGAGTTTATTTTGTTTGACCCGGTGAGAACTGAAGAGACTAGGATGAGTCTCATTTGCAAAAGCGACCTGGGTCATGAAAATGACAAAAGCAATAACATGCAAAAATATGTCAGCAGTCGTTAAAAGTGTCATTTTCAGTTTCACTTCTCCAATGCATTTCAACGGTGAAAATATAAGAGACCTGTAATGTATGTAATATTCACCTGTAATGTTGAGTTTGACTGGGATTTTTGTGGTGCGGTTTTTGTTTCTCTGCCAGAATGCTGGCAGGGGGTCGTGTGAACTCCTACTACGAGGAGTGCAACCCGATATACGGCCGGACGCGGGACGGTGTGCCCAGGCACCCCCAAGCCAGTGGTGGGGGCCCACGCTATCACCGCGGGGAGGACGGGCAAGACGGCGACCCCGCGAGAGACATCTATGCCAGGGTGGCTAAAACCAGCAGTCTGCCCAGGCCCCAGCCCGACAGGTAGTGATAACGCCACATCTTTGATTAAAGTGAGTGGTAATGGCGCTCACTGTTCGCTGGGGCAGGAAGCGTTGAGGAATGGCTCGCACAGTTGGCAACCTTGTGAAATTTACACGTGATTTTGTTTTTAGAGCCAGCTAGGGTTGCCACCTTTTCTACAGACCAAACCCGGACATGTTTTGCAGTCAGCCTAGGCCTCTAAACACTGCAGTGTACTGTTATCAAGTTCAACACAATACCTTGGTACAAATCAATTTCTGCCATCTGAACGCAAACTCAGGTTCCCAGACAGATGGCAACCCAAGAGCCACATTACCTTGTTCACGCAGGGGAAGCTAATGTTACGTCCCCTCAAAAATTTAATAGCAGATGATTTTCAGATTGGTTATTGACAATAATGTAGCCTTGTGAACATTGTTTACAGGTTCTTTACGATTAAAATTGCAGCTGGTTGTTGATGTGATATTTCTTTGACACCGAGCGTGTAGCAATGGCAAGGGGAGCATCACTTATTCTGTTTTATTTTAAAGACTGTCACATGTTATAGACATGAATGGTTTAATGAGCTCCTGGTGAGAAGCCAGCCCTTGCTGTGAGAGTGATGAATGTGCTGTTATGTTGCTCATGTAACTGGACGTTTCAAGGCAGTTGACATCGCATTAGAAATGGTTGCACCCGTGAAGTTGTTTCTTGGCAAAGTGCCTGTGAGATGTGGGAGGTTGTCGAGTTGATGCGGGCTTCATCTTCACCCAAGGCTGCGCATAAGTCTAATCAAAGTTGTGATCTGGTCTTGGGCTACTGTTTGCAGCGGTGGAGGTGGTGATCACGTAAAGTGGCAACTCTTGTCATTTTTCCAACACATCACTGCTAGGGAATCAGGGTGGTGCAGTGGTAACACTTGTGCCTCACAGCAAGAAGGACAGGTTCTATTCCTGAATCGGGTGCTTTTCTGTGTGGAGTTTGTATTCTCTCCCCCTGTTTTCCAAGTTTTTCCTCCTGGTTCTCCTGTTTCTTCCCATAGCTAAAACATACAATGTTTATGGTGTTGGCCAAACATCTCCATGTATCCAAAACTTCCTGAATAGGACGCTTCGGTCTCAGTGTGGCTTTCCTGGGTAAATTAATCATTGCTATACAGTAAAATCACAGTGTTTTTGTGTACATAATCTGCTTTGGGCATCCGCCTGATGTGTGCTACTCGCGCTGTCTGTAAAATGGTTGACGGTATAATAGGGAGGCAGCTCACAATCCTTGGGAAAACAATATTTTACATTTCTGCTGTTTGTATAAACTATTTCTCTGGCAATTTGACAATTGAAACCCGCCGAATGGCTCAGCGCTAGAGCAAGTGGCTCGCAATTAGAAGTGGCCCATCGTCCCTCCGGGGTTGATAAAATAGGTACTACTTTGTGGGAAGGTCAGCAGTGGTCCTATGGAAGGACTTGCCTCCACCATAGGAATATAGAATTTCCCCCACTGGCTTAGCGTTATTAACAGGGGGTGAGCACTGCCTCAAAGCTGATTTTAGCAAGGCATCACTTTCACTTGACGTTGAGTACAAGTGAAATGCTCGTGGTGTGATTTCTCTGGCTGTGGGAGGTTTGCTGTTGGGTTTGGATGAGGACCAGAGAATATTGTCCCGTGCCCGGGTTGGCACTGCCTGCCTGTGGCACTGCACTCACAGCTATTTTAGTCAATTGCGATTATTGCACAAAGTGACATTTCACCCAACAATCCAAAAAACACCGCAATATATTTTTTTAAATGTATGATTTCACTTGTTTACCCGAGAAGCCTCAGTCTCAAGGACCTCTTTCAGGAGGGTCCTGCCAAGCTTTCACAGCATTGGGATGTTTGGCCAATACCAGTTCCATTATATTTTAGCTATCGAACCCAGACACTTTTTGCTGTGAGGCACGAGTGTTACCACTGCGCCACCCTGCCGGACTAATGAGAATGAAAATTATATTCTCATTTTAGCCGTGCATCCAGGGAACCTAATGAAAGTAAAATTGTTTGTGGTGTTTTCACAGCAGAGCCACACATGGCTACCAGTGGGTACAGAGAGAAGGGGGATCGACAGCTCGTGATGGGTCTGATGACAAAAGGGCACCTTCTGGTGCAGAGCACTCTCGGGTGAGTGTCAACTGAGTGGCATGCAATGGCACTGCTATGGGTGAGAATATAGGAGAGGCGAAGGCAATTAAGGTGGAACGTGGAAAGTTGGCATAGAATGGAGTGTCTAAAATTAACCATTGAAAAGCACATTGAACTCAGTGAGTGTTGCTCACTGTGACAGCCCACCGCCACGTGATTAAATCTGCCCAAATAACGACAAATCTGTCTCTTTAAACACAGACGCTGCCTTGCTTGGCAAGCACAGAACCCTTTTGCTTGAGCCCTTGACGTCACCGTGGGTAAGGCTGAGACGGGGTAGAGCATGACTACCTGGCAGCCGTCTCGCTTTAGCCTTTTGGTGACTCCTGAGAGGGCTCTTGGCCGTCTGCTCCACCACTAATCGCTGCATGGCTTCCCTCACAACGCACACACACTCCTACCTTCTCATGAATGCCTCGGTGAAGCAGAGCAGTGTACCTATGCCTCGAGCATGTGTTACAGATAAAATAGCTGCACCTTTAGCCACATTGCGCACAAGCCCTTTGTGATGCGAGAGATTGTAAAGTTTCATATTGATGAGTCACATGGAGTATATAAAGCACATGCCTTTTAGTTTCACCGATTAATGTAAACAGTTTGCATGTACGTTGTATTATCTCTTATTCATATTTAGTTTGTGTAAAAAAAAACAATTATATTGTATATCAAAACAAAAAAGATGGTAATTATGCTATGGGCGGTTGATTGTATATGGCTCGGCATGTTTAACGTGGGATGTTGGGTTTACTATGTGACTTTTATTTTGTCCGATGTACTTTTAGCCAATGTGCCTTTTGGGGTCACCACCTCTGTCTGATTTGCCATGAGGCTACCTATATTGAATTGCAGTTTGTAAGCCACATTGATATTTATATTGAGTGCTGTTGTTTTACGCAATATTTTCTCTAAATATTAACACAATGCAGTGGCTATGCATAAATCTAACCATTTAGTACAGACCACCGTCACAGGGGGAATATAACTACAATTGAACCGACAGCTTCAATCATGTCATGTATAAAAGTTGTATCCGTTTATGAGAATGTTTAGTTGAAGAATAATCTGTGTACAAGGCTCACAGTGTGGGAAGCAGGAGACGATAACATGAAGTGTATTTACACACGAGTATTTTTCATTTAAGGCTGTAACATATCACGCATGTCGATAACCGTTGCACATTCTAACGCATGTGTGCCGTTAAATAAAGTATACCTTGCTAAACTCATCACTTCGTGTGCTGAATTTTAATTACCCACAATCGCTTTCATTTATTGGAATGCAATTCAAATTTCCAACCCATTTTGTGGCTGTTGAGTCTGATAATAAACTGCGCAGTTGGCACAATTGCATGGCTTTCCGACTAATCCGCTCACACTCTTCTTGGCTGCTGGACATTGCCTCCAGTATCGACGGGTTCGAGTTCTGCAAACCTTTCTCAGGATGCGTATTCATTTTGGATTTTCTTTGCCCTCGCGATGTGTTCGGTGCAGATTGACCAGTGGTGGCCACTGCTCCAATATGCTGTACCATTATACCATAACACAAACCTGGGACCTATACCTCACTAAAAGTTGAAACTGTTCTGTGGTTTTGCTTACAGCAGTGAACCATTCTTGATGAAATTATGCACTGCCAGAAGGTCATATGGCTGATGAAATGTGTGGAAGAATTATTTTTTTTTACATGTGGATGTTAAGTATTGTTTGCTGATTCATTTTGTAGCATTTTATAAGTCATCCTGTGTTTCGATGGGCATACATCACCGGATGTTGTTTTAGTTGCAAATCTAATATATTGTAGAAATGCTGTGTTTTTGTAATATCATATTTGCATTTTTATATTCTATCTTTTTTCCAAGTTACATCACAATTGTTCCAATCGATATTACACCGAGATGACAATTTCCATTTGGAGCTCTTGCAGAAAGGATTATATCAGTGCATGTGAGAACAGTTTTTGGAAGATGATATGACAGAACTACTTCTTATGAGGGGCAAATATCCATTTGCCTCTCATATATAGAGGGTGCTACATCCATACATTTGCAGATCACTCTTGCAATTGAAACCTTGTGGCTAATGGGATATGTAAAAAGAAATGTTATTTTTTATGTGGCGTGACATATATGTGGAGGCGTATTGTCTGCTTAGAGGCACGAGAAGGATCAACGCACAGGGTGCTGTGGGTTTGTATAAAACGAGCGGCACTGTAGTTGCGTGGTGAATGCATGCTTGCTGCTGCGTGGGCTGCTGTGTCCTTGGCCTCGGGGGTGGTCTCCTTTGCCGCCTGTGGCTCGCGTGGCCACGGGGGGCCCCATCCGCCAGTCGCAATCTGGCTCAGAGGTGCGGGGCGGCCGTAGTTCGGTGCCGCTGGATGCCCAGCGCCGGAGCCGCTTCCCAGACATGAGAGACCTCCTGCCTCGTCCTCAGAAACGCGCCTCCTCCCCCACCAGGTGAGGCCCTCGTGCAACTGCCTTCCGGATTTGCCGCAGCCCTTTCAAGCCCTCTCGGCACAGCCTGGCCTGTGCCGTGTTCTGCGGACAATTAGCACACTCCAGACGCACTGCTGTGTGCACTTTACCATGATCTTGCAATCACGGGTATGGCCTGTGAACACCGGTGGTTTGTGAAGGTGCGGTGTAGGGTTGTTAAATGAAGATCCGCAAACTTCTAAGAATCATTTACCCGTTTTTAATTCACGAACCGCTAATTAATTTCAGGAGAATTTTAGTAATAAATACACTGATTAGCTCATTAAATTTTTTGCATGGTATATTTGCCTTCGTTTCTCACTTGTTAGTTAAAATGTAAAAGTGCAGCCCTGCAATTGCTTGCTCATGCCACTAGTGGTGAAAGGATCAAAGACAAAGCTCCCACGTATAACCTTAAAAGACTGGAGGAGCAAGTGCTTTTAGCCAGCACCTATGAAGGCCGGCACAGCACACGAAGGGGTGGGTGGCCAGCACCATGCCCGGCCGCCTTTGTCTTCTTAGTGGTGATGTTTACACACCGCACCAGGTACTCATTTGAGGCTGAGCCGACCTAGGAGAGGCCCAGGACCAGTTCAGATAATTGTCAAGGGTGTTGACCATGAGCAGGAATTGAATCTGGGTTGCCGGGGTGGGCATACCGACACTTTACCTTACTGCACGCCACCTTTACCCCACCACATTAATACTGCTAGGTGGACAGAGGCGAGAGGGATTTAATTAACTTTTATAAATCATATTCGCAATCGACGACCTCTAGATTGCATGTCCATTGTTCTACTGCAGCTCCCTTCGTTTGTGCATGCGGCAACCATTATTTGCAAAATAATTTCATGCAGTTACCGGTAAATGACAATCATTTTTTGACATTGCATTGGAGTATTTCACTTGGATAATCATGGAGTTGGAGCCTCTCTTTTACAATGGTATCCAGGCTGTCGATTGAAACACGCACAGAAAACGTGCAATGACCCGTACACATTTCAATCTCTAACTTTTGCAGCATGTATTTACACACTGAATATGGCACCAGTCAATCGCCACCCTGGATACCCATGCACATTGGATGTTGCATCTCTAGGGATTTTCCAGGTGAAATTTTTGAATTCATGCATTTAAAAAACCCACCTGTTTGTAAGATCAACTGTGAATGTTTGTAATTCAGGCAAACCAAGCGAGCATCACGCCCAGCAGAAGATACCCGAGCAGAGAAAGTGACTTCAGCGTCTCGAGGAGACCCAGGCAAAGCATCGCGCACGCAGCCACTGCCCTCTGCACCGCTCAACTCTGAAGCTCCTTCCAGCCGCTCCCGACACGCGAAGCAGCAGGTGGAGCAGCCTTCGCGCCACGCGGAGCGGCCCGCGGGAGGCGTCCCGCAGCCCGCAGGGATGGGTGTGTTGGGGTTTCCTCGACTCGCAATCCTCTCCACGGGCTCTCTACAGCGCCGTGCCGCCACCTCTTCGCAGCGGGACACGGGGCGCCCTGGCCGGACGGGACCCACGGTCGGGGGCCGTTCGGTGGAACTCCAGAATTCTCCTGCGCAACTCACGCGTATTCCCCGCTTCCATTCGGCGGGTGCTGGAGGGGGGCACCACCACTACCACCAGCAGCATCAGCAGTCCCCACTGGCCACGCAGGCCACCCACGTAGGCCAGCAGCAGGACCTGGCTAGGTTTGGCTTTCAGCCCCCCAAGGCCCGTCACATGTTGAAGCCCAAGGACTTTCAATGGGGGCAGACAGCAGCAGTCTAGCAGTTAGGCTTGCTACCTGTCTGGGTTGACCAGAACAGTCTGGATATTGGCAACCATGTTTGGGTTGCAGATCTGGAGGTATTATGTGTAACTCTATCATGTCCCGGTTTGATCTAGTGGAAAAGGTGGTGATGCGATGAGTAGTGCACTCAAGCCAATCGCGTGAGCTATGTTTCACCTTGGGAGCAATACCGCTTTTACATGTTTCTATTGTACGGTCGTGGGCCTTGGCAGCTGTTTGTAGGGTGCTGCTGTGTAATGACTTTTTAGTAGTTTGACATAATCTAGTTTAATGGACCCCCTCCGTAAATTGTGGTCTTGGATTGTTGCCTCCTCTCATCACTTCCATTGCTGTGCTGCAGTGGTTGTCAATGAGGTACGAAACCACGTGCGTCTCGACATGTGAGATGGTGCACACACAAAGCCATGTCCCATAATTTGTTTTGAACACAAACGGTCTCCAAAAATTAGCTGATCAGGTGGCTGCTCATCAGCATAGCGAGTGACTCGCATTCGGAAGGTCGCAAGTTAAAATCCTTGTTGGAGGCTCAAGCAGCCCATCCTCCCTCCGGGGTTGATAAAATTAGTACCACTTTATGGGAAGGTCAACAGTGGTTGTCCTATGGAGAGACTCGCACCCACCACTGGAATCTCTCCACTGTCTCGGTGCTGTAAACTTGAGATGAGCATCATTGCCTCTTGTCATGAGCAGAAAATCACAATTGTGCTGGCAGGTGTGGGAGGGGCTGGCAAGGGTGGTTGTTAAAAGGCAGTGAAAAATGTCACCAGGTGGTTTGTAACGGGTGGTCAGCTCTGCCCTCATGACGCCCTTGCTAGTTCAGGATACGAGCGCTCGATGACTTCCCAGGGTCACTCTGCTGAAATAAATAAATAAGCATACAATCCGCCTCCACATAAAATATATAACGTGATTATTCACTCTTGAGCATCATTCACATCCTATCAGCTATGCGGCCTTGTATAATTTTAGAGAAGGTTTTTGTCTTTGTACATCTGACATCAGTATTGATTCAAGCAAGGCTGATTGCTGATGAGACACTGAATGTCAAAGCTGTTCCAGAGTTTGTGTTGAACCAATGCTCCATAATAAAGTTTTTTTGGGTTAGATCGCGTAAATATATAAATTTGTCGTTAAAACCCGCCACCACCCGACACAGCCAACTAGTAAGGGTTGTCACGAAAACAGAACGTGGCCAATTCGTCACTAGTACAGCACACCGGCGTTTTGGAGAGCCAAGCCAAAACATTTACAATCTGAGTACGTCGTTTCGGCAGTAATTATATAAAATAATTTCTGTATTTTATGTACCGTGCCAAATCTGACTCGGATGTTTTGTTTTTCCAAACATATGGCTAGTTTATCAGTTACTCCCGCAAAATACAGATTTTATTTTTGGTACAAAAGATGTATTACCGAAGCTATCAACAGAAGGTGTGTACAGGATTAACTGCACGTGTGGGAAATGTTATGTTAGGCAAACAGGACGAATGATCAGCACGAAACTAAAAGAACATCAGAGAAATATTAAATGATCACAAATACAACTGTCAGCAGTAGCAGAACACGCGTCCCAACAAAGACACTCAGCTGATTTTGATAATGTTGACGTTCTCTGAAAAAACTAGCTACTACTGGCCAAGAATAATTAGAGAATCTAGCGAAATTGAAAGAAATAAAATAATTGTAACCGTTCGGATACCTACCGCCTTAGTGCTACGTGGAAGCGAATAATCAAATAATACATTATTTTAATGCATGCCTATAAAGGGCAGCAGACTTCAATAGAGATTACCGTTGGTACGGTTATTTAATACGCACAATAGACAAGAAGGACAAGATCAAAGCGCTCGCATAATGCGCAAGAGCGCAAAATTGTGGTCACCACATCTACGCCTCTATATAAGGTACGAAACAGGTGGACTTCTCCAAAAATCTGGTTGTCGCCTGATGACGCTAGTAATTACTGCCGAAACGTCGTACTCAGATTGTAAATATTGTGGCTTGGCTCTCCCAACACACCGGTGTGCTGTACTAGTGACGAATTGGCATGTGCTGTTTACGTGACAACCCTTACTAGTTAGTTGGCTATGTCGGGTGGTGGCGGGTTTTAACGACACATTCACGCGCTCTAACCCAAAAAAAACTCTTATGGATGATATTGGTCGCGAAAGCCTACATGTTAAACTTAACCAATGCTGCTGAAATTATGTACTCCCAAAGTTATTGCTAATGGAATGTGTTAAATACTTTTATTTGCCTGGAGGGACAGATGTGTGAGGGAGGCGAGTTTGTCTGATTATGTTATCTTGTATTCTCCAAGATGCCACGGATGGGTCTGATCGTGGTGTGCGGTCAGAACCGTGCATGCATCGATCGGCATATGGCAGCCTATTCTCATGAACGTGTAACGGACAATATGTAGATTTATAACATTTCGTTATAACCGTGCATGCTGAGCCCCGTGGGCACAGATCCGTACAGCCACGCACAGCAGGGACCATATGAGGACCAAAGTTATATCCGTAGACACGTGATCACTTGTATTCCCACTTATTATCCAGGTATGTTTTATTCAGCTGTGTGTGGAAGCTGTAAGCAAGTTGTAGGCTTGTAACCTTCAGCGAAGAACGCTTTTACAGCCGTCTAATGATGGCGTAGTTTAACATTATACCTTGGCTTCAGTGGTAAATTAGCGTGCATCAATAGGCATATGGCAGCCTATTATAGACGTGTAACTGACAATATGTAGATTCATAACATTTCGTTTATACCTTTGTAACAAAAAAATTATAAATAAAAACTACTTACAGTATGCAACCTCGCTTGTCAGTCTGATATTTGCTCCGCAATTAGCGTGTGTGAGACCGCGCATACCTTGTCGATCCAGATCCCGTAGACCCCACTAGACCACCCGCAGGTACGATAACACCATAGCGACCCCTACACCCCCCACCACCACCACCACTACCACCACATTCTCCGTAATAATCATCACTTTCCATTTCCAGCAGCACAACACCCCACCACCATCATGGTGTTGGTGTTACTCTGGTAGTGAGGAAGTGCGGAGAGCGAACCAGAGAGTCTGAGAGCAGGTAAAGCACCAGCTAAAGATGATCTCCCAGGTGCTGAGGGTAGGTGGAAATGTGCAGGCTACCATATATGGCATGACCATCAGCCCCATCAAAACTAAGCACCTGCCTGATGGGGCATTTGTGAAGAGAATGGAGAAATTCCCATATCTGGGCAAGAGCCAAATGGCTCACAGGGCTATACCAAAATAAACTGAAAAAAACGTTCCTTTTTGGCAGCAGAGGTCTCACTCCGAATGAGTCGAGAGGCATTATCTTTTCATCGACTGCGTAAAGCTGTGTGGAGCGACATGGCCTATCGCTCCATACTAAGCTCCGGGTCTTCTCGACTACAGTCATGCCCTCCTTTATGCTTGTGTAATGAGTCGAACTGAGTCGCATACGTTATCATGGGAGCAACACTATTCAATAAATCAACATAACACAACCTACACTTGGGTGTTGAATGTTCTTCTAGCCACGCTACGGCAGAACTAGACACGGTTTGCTATCCCGGCCCGGACCACAAGCTGGGTCCCGGACCGCGTGGCTAGAGGCTCCTTTTACCCGACGCGGATCTTCATCACCAGCAACACGAAGAACCCCGAGCCCCTCACGGGCCCCCCGTTATACCCACCTGGGATGGGGCTGGCTCCACCCTTCGCCCCGCCCACGTTCCAGATCTCTTGAGCTCTTTCCCAAAGGCTCCCCGAGAGCTTTTTTAGACCACGTGACCGCCCAGTGGCCCTCGTCTACCGGTGGCCCCCCTCCAATATCATCCGGTCACGTGTCGGCAGGTCAACCAGCGTATCATGCCCCAAGGTAACCCTGGCTGGCTGACACTCTCGCTCCTTCACCGGGAGCCCGCACCGCACGCTGTACGCGGTGCCTCCGCGATGACCAGCGCTCACCCAAGCCCCGCTAGGGCTGGTGGTACTACGTCGAGTAAGCGGGCTACACGTAATGCCAACACAATATCCGCCGTGGCTTCGTAAGCCCGGCACCACACAGTGACAATCAGTCACTACACTTGTGAAACGTGGACCCCTTTAAAGGAACATCCGTGCCAATTTAAAACATTCGGCCCAGCCTGCCTACCATTCCATTCTTGGTTTAACCAGAGCTGAATGTGTGTGGAGCTCATATCCATTAAAGATATGGACACTGCTCCATCAGTGAGCTCTCTGGCAGGTGAGGCTGCGTTGGCTGGGTTGTGTAACCCGCATGTCCAGCCACCACGTCCAAACAGCTTTTGTTTGGCCGGATATGGAGGCTAAACGGGTGAGGCACATGCTAGAGAAGAGATGGACTGATGTGGTACAGGAGAATGTTGAGCTGAGATGACTTGCCGATGACTGGTACCAGCGGTGTCAAGATTGGCCTCTGTGGAGGAGGTTCGAGAACTAGTGCGGGGCCTGTAGCATATGTTATAAAGGGGCCCTATATAATAAAAATAACTAATTTGATTTGGAGCTTTCGTGACTGCAGGAATTACTCTTTGGTTCTTTCGGTAAAGTCACGTAGAAAAATAATAATAAATTAAATAATAGCAACACAAGCAATCATCAGGTACAATGAAAGAGAAAACAAACCTAGTAAAATTAGAATGCAATACAACACTGAGAGTCGGCTAACATAACAGTCAACACCCTACCTGGTTGATTACGTTCTCCCAAAGATTGCTAAATTTGAGAGAGAGACAAAACACAGCCACGGAGACAGACAGACACATAAGCAGAGAGATGACACAGAGACACACATTGCTCTTTCTACGTGACTTTACCGAAATAACCCAAGTGTAAAAAAACAAATATTAAAACATTTTTAACTTGTATCGTAAAGGAATTGTATTTTTTCATTTTCTATACAGCCAGATACTAAACAAATCGCTAACATTAAACACCCAATCGTTCATAAAAGTTGAAGGCAGTATAGTACTATAGTAATACAGAAAGTGCAGAATCACTGAACCGGAATTGATAGATTAAAAGCATTTAGCGCGTGGTTCTTGAAAGTGCGGGGCCCGTAGCTACTACATGTGTAGTAGCTACTGCATGTGTAGTAGCTACTACTGCATGTGTAGTAGCTACTACTGCATGTGTAGTAGCTACTACTGCATGTGTAGTAGCTACTACTGCATGTGTAGTAGCTACTACTGCATGTGTAGTAGCTACTACTGCATGTGTAGTAGCTACTACTGCATGTGTAGTAGCTACTACTGCATGTGTAGTAGCTACTACTGCATGTGTAGTAGCTACTACTGCATGTGTAGTAGCTACTACTGCATGTGTAGTAGCTACTACTGCATGTGTAGTAGCTACTACTGCATGTGTAGTAGCTACTACTGCATGTGTAGTAGCTACTACTGCATGTGTAGCTACTTTTGCTACTAGGATAATCCGGCACTGTCGAGAACGCTCCTAAGCAGTTTGAGGCAGTCGCCCTCCAACAACAGGGGAGGGCGGAGGAGCGAAGCTCACAACGAGCAGAGCGCCGGGCCGATGAAACGGAGTGGAGTTTGCACAGTGGGGAGCACAGTTGCTGCGTTTACGAGTAATCTTACTGAACCCATGGCACCTGGGTATATTTCTTGACTTGTCAGCGAGCCTTCAACACTTCACGTAGCATCAAAGTGCACCTCGCCTGGCACAAATGCCGTGGTGACGTCCCCACTTCGTGGCGAACAGCGGTTGTCGTGGAGGTGTGAGAATGGAGCTGTATGTGTGCGGAGCCACGTGTGGAGCGGTGTGTGTGCGGAGCCACGTGTGGAGCTGTGTGTGTGCGGAGCCGCGTGTGGAGTTGTGTGTGTGTGTGTGCGGAGCCACGTGTGGAGCTGTGTGTGTGTGTGTGCGGAGCCACGTGTGGAGCTGTGTGTGTGCGGAGCCACGTGTGGAGCTGTGTGTGTGCGGAGCCACGTGTGGAGCTGTGTGTGCGGAGTCGCGTGTGGAGCTGTGTGTGTGTGTGTGCGGAGCCACGTGTGGAGCTGTGTGTGTGCGGAGCCACGTGTGGAGCCACGTGTGGAGCTGTGTGTGCGGAGCCACGTGTGGAGCTGTGTGTGTGCGCGGAGCCGCGTGTGGAGTTGTGTGTGTGCGGAGCCACGTGTGGAGCTGTGTGTGTGTGTGCGGAGCCACGTGTGGAGCTGTGTGTGCGGAGCCGCGTGTGGAGCTGTGTGTGTGTGCGGAGCCGCGTGTGGAGCTGTGTGCGCGCGGAGCTGCGTGTGGAGCTGTGTGTGTGCGGAGCCGCGTGTGGAGCTGTGTCTGTGTATCTGTGTGTGTGTGTATCAGTGTGTATATGCGGAGCTGTGTACGTGTGCCCGCGTGCGTGTGATGGCCTCACGCGGGGAGGGTGGTGGTGATGCCACAGGTCTTGAGCAATCGTCACCATCCTCTTCCTCCAGCCCCGCCTCCCCTCTCATCGCTCCGCTCTGGGGAAGAGCGAATTCGCCTCTGAGTTTTCGTCAAAGGAGGAGCGCAGCTGGGAGAGGTTTGGGAGAGTTCGTCGAGGCGAGGCACTCTGAGCTGGGTTGTCTTGTCTCGCCTGGAGGCCCCGTCAGCTCCACGCTGCAAGCTGCGATCTCCACGGCGCCATCTGCTAGGACCCCCCCCCTCCCAGCTCCCTGTTACTGGGAACTGTCTCGGCCCCCCGCGCCAGACACAGGGGTCCTGCGCATTCCGCGCGCTCTGCGCCGAGGGCTTCTGTCCAAGGAACCTTTGGGGACCGTTCCCTACGTCTGGGCCGCGTTGGCGGGAGCGCTGGGAATGGCTGTGAGGTTTCGGAAGCTTCTGGCGGCCGCGATGGTGGCGGTCGCTTTTTCTGCTGTCGTGGCCACGGAGGATGAAGGTGAGAACAGGGGCCCGGTGGCAGCGGCGCGGCCCCCGGGGTGGGCCACGGATCGAGGCGGTGTCCTCCAGCCCAGCCGTGGCTGTCACGGAGACACCGACTCTGCCTGCACCTGCAGCGCCCCACCTGCCCCCCTCGTGCCGCGACAACGCGGAGTTCACGCGGTCGTGATGTTGGTATCCTCCCTTAGTGGGGAGCGGTGGCGCACAGCGCTACGAACCCGATGACCCGAGTTGGACTCACGACCAAACGAGTATTTGGTCCGATGTGTAAACATCGCCACTGGGGAGACAAAGGCGGCCAGGCGTGGTGCTGGCCACCCACCCCCTCGTGTTCCGTGCGGACTTTCATCGGTGCTCCCTCACTGCCCTAACAGGCTGTAAAGGCTTTAAGGGGGAGGGGGGGGATTTGTCCATTCTGAATGGCTGGTGTCCATCCAGAATGAGTGGAGCTGGTGTGCAGATGAGCGGTGTTTGGGTCCATCCAGAATTACCAGTGTCCATCAAAATTGTATGACTCGTAGTGCAGTAAATGTAGTCCTAGAATTCTGGATTGGATGCGTTCTAGCTATGTCACATACCAATTGGTACGTGCGCATTATGTGGACATATATCTAGTGGCTTATTTGATCTGAATTGCTGTGATGCTGTTATCCAAGAGACGCCCGTGACACGGACACCGCAGCCGCCACCAATGTGGAAGTCGTGGGAGGCGCTCTCGGCCCCAGTTTGGAAATGGCTGAAGCTTGATTTGTTCTCTGCCCGCGTGTGCCCGAGACAGCTTGTGGGGGCAAGTTGTCAGCCGGTACCCCAGGGTACATCACGTCCCCCGGATACCCCAAGGATTACCCGCCACACTTGGTGTGCCGGTGGGAGGTACAGGCCCCGCAACGCGACCAGCGCATTTCAGTCACCTTCAACCCACACTTTGATGTGGAGAAGACTTCGGAATGTCGGTAGGTGTCCATCATTACAACATACTCCGCCTGTGAACGAACTCTGGTGTAAGGTGAACCCGAGTGGTTTACAATGGAGGCCGAACTGAGTGCAAAGAGTTTTTAGAAGAGGGTGCTGCATTGGGATGTTTGACCAATGCTTTATTTCGATGTTGACGTGCGGCATATGCTTTGCTTACGTTAACATGAACGAACATGAGCAGACACCACACCTCGCCATCTTTGTATTCTTTTATACAGCCTGTCAGCCACACGACCGATTGGGAGTGCAACGTAGTAGCTTTGGTTTATATAATACAAGCAAACTCGACTGGTTTTGACATTGTCTCATCAGCTATTTCAGGCTTTCTTGAACCAAGGCTGGTGAACTGCCAGATGTGTATGGGCAATGACTCTTTTCTTGTTAGACGGATCATAGTATGACACAAATCTATGCCGAGCACAATACAATAATAGAATCATTCACGCCTTTCAGGAGGGAATGAGCAGACAATTGTTTTCTTTTGCATCTTGCGTTCTGCACAACAAGACACGTGTGGATCAGTTTGCGTTGCCTTCCAGTTGGTGATGGAGTTAGTTGTGCACGCTCTGCCGCATGTTGTCCCCCATCTCATTGCGAGTACAGAATTTACTGTCGCACTCCGAGCTGGAGGTGTTTTGTGCGTCGGTGAAACCACCTGCCACTGGGCATTCAGTGTCTAGACGTGTGTACGTTTAGTGTCTAGATGCGTGCACGTTCAATGTCTAGATTCATGTACGTTCAGTGTCTAGACTCGTGCACGTTCAGTGTCTAGACTCGTGCACGTTTAGTGTCTAGACGCGTGTACATTCAGTGTCTAGACTCGTGCACGTTCAGTGTCTAGACGCGTGCACGATCAGTGTCTAGACGCGTGCACGTTCAGTGTCTAGACGCGTGCACGTTCAGTGTCTAGACGCGTACACGTTCAGTGTCTAGACGCGTGCACGTTCAGTGTCTAGACGCGTGCACGTTCAGTGTCTAGACGCGTGCACGTTCAGTGTCTAGACGCGTGCACGTTCAGTGTCTAGACGCGTGCACGTTCAATGTCTAGACGCGTGCACGTTCAGTGTCTAGACGTGTGCACGTTCAGTGTCTAGACGCGTGCACGTTCAGTGTCTAGACGCGTGCACGTTCAGTGTCTAGACGCGTGCACGTTCAGTGTCTAGACGCGTGTACGTTATGTGTCTAGACGCGTGTATGTTCAGTGTCTAGACGCGTGTACGTTCAGTGTCTAGACGTGTGCACGTTCAGTGTCTAGACGTGTGCACGTTCAGTGTCTAGACGCGTGCACGTTCAGTGTCTAGACGCGTGCACGTTCAGTGTCTAGACGCGTGTATGTTCAGTGTCTAAACGCGTGTATGTTCAGTGTCTAGACGCATGTCTGTTCAGTGTCTAGACGCGTGTATGTTCAGTGTCTAGACGCGTGTATGTTCAGTGTCTAAACGCGTGTATGTTCAGTGTCTAGACGCATGTACGTTCAGTGTCTAGACGCGTGTATGTTCAGTGTCTAGACGCGTGTATGTTCAGTGTCTAGACATGTGTACGTTCAGTGTCTAGACTCGCGTGCGTTCAGTGTCTAGACGCGTGCGCGTTCAGTGTCTAGACGCGTGCACGTTCAGTGTCTAGACGCGAGCAGGTTCAGTGTCTAGACGCGAGCACGTTCAGTATCTAGACGCGTGCACATTCAGTATCTAGACGCGTGCACGTTCAGTGTCTAGACGCGTGCATGTTCAGTGTATAGACGTATGCACGTTCAGTGTCTAGACGCGTGTATGTTCAGTGTCTAAACGCGTGTATGTTCAGTGTCTAGACGCATGTATGTTCAGTGTCTAGACGCGTGTATGTTCAGTGTCTAAACGCGTGTACATTCAGTGTCTAGACGCATGTATGTTCAGTGTCTAGACGCGTGCACGTTCAGTGTCTAGATGCGTGCACGTTCAATGTCTAGATGCGTGTACGTTCAGTGTCTAGATGCGTGCACGTTCAATGTCTAGATGCGTGTATGTTCAAAGTCTAGACGCGTGCATGTTCAGTGTCTAGACGCGTGTACGTTCAGTGTCTAGACTCGTGTGCGTTCAGTGTCTAGACGCGTGCACGTTCAGTGTCTAGACTTGTGCACGTTCAGTGTCTAGACTCGTGCACGTTCAGTGTCTAGATGCGTGTACGTTCAGTGTCTAGATGCGTGCACGTTCAATGTCTAGATGCGTGTATGTTCAGAGTCTAGACGCGTGCACGTTCAGTGTCTAGACGCGTGTACGTTCAGTGTCTAGACGTTTGTACGTTCAGTGTCTAGACGCGTGCACGTTCAGTGTCTAGATTCGTGTGCGTTCAGTGTCTAGACGCGTGCACGTTCAGTGTCTAGACTCGTGTGCGTTCAGTGTCTAGACGCGTGTACGTTCAGTGTCTAGACTTGTGTACGTTCAGTGTCTAGACGCGTGCATGTTCAGTGTCTAGACTCGTGCACGTTCAGTGTCTAGACGCGTGTGCATTCAGTGTCTAGACGCGTGTACGTTCAGTGTCTAGACACTTGTACGTTCGGTGTCTAGACTCGTGCACGTTCAGTGTCTAGACTCGTGTGCGTTCAGTGTCTAGACGCGTGCACGTTCAGTGTCTAGACTCGTGTGCGTTCAGTGTCTAGACGCGTGTCTGACCAGCTAGTTGTGCTTCAGGCTTGTTCCATCTGGGCCGACCCTCTAGCTGCTACCATAGGCGTACACCAGGCTCAACATCCCTGGTGAGTCGGTACAGTCAGCAGCTGCCAACACCGAACCCATTGCAGCGGTTAACTAACCCGGAACACTCAGCTTGTCTGAGGCTGGGCATGTGGAACCCCTGGTGGAGGAAATTCCACCAAAAGGGTATTTAGACCTTCCACTGCAACCAGGACCATCTCCAGTCGTTTTGACTATGTCTTGCCACTGGGTACAGATGGGGCTGGTCGAGAGAGTGAGGTTGACACTGCGCAAATCACCCTCACTTAAATACAAGTGCTCTGCACAAGTCATGGCACTTTTTACCATCGTCATTATCCAAGTCCTGTGGCGATGGGTGAGCAACGACGAAGCAGGCACGGATATTCTGGAAGCTGTAGCTGCAATCCTGCCCACAGGTGGCTCAGAATATTGGCCATTCCCTCACTGGACCGAAGCAGCAGTGAAGTCCGGCATGACCCTGAGTGACTGAGCAGCCATTTTCAGGATTACACTGCTCACCTCCGTAGTGAGGAAAGGGTTAGAAAAGGTACCCTAAACATTGCCTGCTTCAAAACATCCTGGCCATCCTACCGCAGCTGGTGGGATCCCATACCTGCGGTCAAAAAACAAATAAAATGAAAAAGACCAAAGTGATACCACTCACTGTTGGTGCCTGGAATGTGCGCACTTTGATGGACACATCCGGATCAAAAAGACCTGAGAGACGCACTGCCCTCGTGGGCAGAGAGCTATCCAGATATAATGTGGATGTTGCTGCCCTTGGTGAGACCCGACTGGCCAATACTGGACAGGTGACTGAAGTGGGTGCAGGTTACACATTCTTCTGGAGCAGACGAGGCCAGGAGGAGAGAGGTGATGCTGGTGTTGGTTTTGCAGTAAAAAAAACACCTAGTCAACCAACTGGCAAGCCTACCCAAAGGTATAAATGACCGTTTAATGACCTTAAAGCTCCACCTATTGGGTAAAAAGGAGGCCACCATCATCAGTGCCTATGCCTCTACCATGACCAACTCTGACGAGATCAAAACCAAGTTTTATAATGACCTGGAAGTCATTATTGTTGCCACAGCCAGCTCTGACAAACTCCTGATACTTGGTGACTTCAATGCCAGAGTTGGAAGTGACCATAAATCATGGAATGGAGTCATAGGTGCACATGGCATTGGAAAATGTAACAGCAACGGCCTTCTGCTGCTGAAAACATGCTCTGAATTTGACCTGCTCATCACCAACACGATATTCCAACTACCAAAGCGCAAGAAAACGTCATGGATGCATCCTCGTTCACACCATTGGCACTTGATTGACTCCGTCATCGTGAGGAGGAGCGACCGGCACGATGTCAGGGTGGACCAAGGCAATGTGTGGTGCTGAATGTTGGACTGACCATTTTCTCATCGTCTCCAAACTTAACATCTGGATTAAGCTTCCAAGACACCCACAAGGAAAAAGACGTCTCAAGCGTCTTAACATCACTCGCCTACAACAGGAACACACCAGACTGGCCTTTGTTGAGGCTCTAGACCATCACCTGGAGTCTTTAAGCTTCGAGCATGCAGACGCTGATTCAGACTGGACTGCCCTCAAGACCATGCTGCATTCTACAGCCCTTGAATCACGTGGTGTTCCCCATACGTACACATCAAGATTGGTTTGATGAGAATGATGCAGAAATCCAAGCACTCCTTGACAAAAAACATCGCCTGCATAAAGCATATCTGCATGACAGCAGCTCAAGCTTAAATACAACTGCCTTCCTCAACATTCGAAGGGTTGTCCAGCAGAGACTCAGAGTCATGCAAGACACCTGGCTGTATGCAAAAGCTGTGGAGATTCAGTCCTACGCTGAGAGTAACAACACCAAGTGCCTCTATGATGCACTCAAGCAGGTCTATGGTCCGCAACACTCAGGAACTTCACCTCTCCTGAATGCAGATGGAACAACACTCCTCACGGAGAAGGACGAAATACTTGCAAGGTGGGCTGAACACTTCAGCGCAGTCCTCAACCAGCCATCATGGATAAATGAGGAGGCAATTGTGAGACTGCCTCAAGTTGAAATAAACCAGTCCCTTGCTGTTCTACCATCCATTGAGGAAACCAGCAAAGCCATAAGCCTCATCTCATCAGGCAAAGCTCCAGGGTCCGATGCCATTCCAGTGGAAATCTACAAGGCTGGAGGGCCTCGCTTAGTCGAGAAACTGACCGACCTCTTCCAGTCTCTGTGGAAATTAGAAGCCGTTCCCCAGGAGTTCAAGGATGCCTCTATAATCCATCTCTATAAGAGGAAAGGCAATCGACAAGCCTGCGACAACCATAGAGGCATCTCCATACTATCAATCGCTGGCAAAATATTGGCAAGAATCCTTCTGAACCACCTAATTGTCCACCTAGACCAGGGTCTGCTACCTGAAAGTCAGCGTGGTTTCAGAAAGACCGCGGAATCACTGACGTGGTATTTACTGCCCGGCAGTTACAGGAGAAATGCCAAGAACAAAATGCTGATCTATGTATGGCTTTCATTGATCTAACAAAAGCATTCGACACAGTCAGCCGGGAGGGCCTATGGCAGATCATGGCCAAATATGGGTGTCCAGACAAGTTCATTGGCATCGTGCGCAAACTCCATGATGGCATGATGGCCAGCGTCAGAGATCAGCAAGAACTCTCTGATCCGTTCCCAATCACAAACGGGGTGAAGCAAGGCTGCATTTTAGCACCAACGCTCTTCAGCATGGTGTTGTCTGCCATGCTGCAAGACTCATTCCAGAACCACAACACTGGGATTAGCTACATCTACCGTTTTGACGGTGGGCTATTCAATCTGCGGAGGATGCAAGCCAAAACTAGAGTGGAGGAAGTCACTGTTCGATAACTTTTGTTTACTGATTACTGTGCTCTGGCTGCTGGCTAAAATTAAGATCTACAGGACAGTATGGACCACTTCTCCTCAGCTTGTAACAACTTTGGCCCAATAATCAACACAAAGAAGACTGAAGTCCTATACCAACATGCTCCTGGGAAAGCCTACACTGAGCCCCCCACCATCTTTGTGAATGGGCAAAAGCTTTCAGCCGTTGACAAGTTTACTTACCTTGGTAGTACTCTGTCTCGCGCTGTGCACATAGATAATGAAGTTAACATCAGGATTGTCAAGGCCAGTGCAGCCTTTGGACGTCTACGTGACTTGGTATGGGAAAGACCTGGCATCAAGCAGGAGACAAAACTGAAGGTCTACCAGGCTGTTGTCTTACCAACTCTTCTGTATGGGTGCGAAGCCTGGACAGTCTACCTGCGCCATGCCAAGAAATTGAACCATCTTCACTTGAGCTATCTGAGGAAACTGCCGAGGATCAAGTGGCAAGACAGAATCCCTGACTCGGAAGTCCTCAGCAAGGCCAATATCCCCAGCATCCACACCTTGCTTGCGAAGGAACAGCTTAGATGGACTGGTCACGTGACCAGAATGCCCTGTGCGAGACTGCCAAAACAAGTCTTCTTTGGCGAGCTGAAGAATGGCAAGCGAGCGCAAGGTGGCCCCAAAAAGCGCTACAAGGACACCGTTAAAGCTTCCTTGAAGAGCTTTGGGTTCGACCTGAAAAGCTGGGAACCCCCTAGCTCAGGAACGACCTGCCTGGAGAAGAGAAGTACAGGATGGTGCAGTCCTCTGTGAGAGCAGGAGAAGCTCCTGTGCTATCTTGAGGAGGCAGCAGCGTAAATCTACCAAGGCAGGACTTGTGGCTGCACATCGGAGCTCGACGTCCTCCCTGACCTGTCCAGTGTTGCCACAGAGAATTCCGGGCTCGGATTGGCCTGTTCAGCCATCTGCGCACTCATCAAACCCCAACAAGATGACAAACGTGCCATGGTCATCATCAACTATGATGGACGAACAAGAAGAAGGCACGTGTACGTTCAGTATCTAGACGCGTGTACGTTCAGTGTCTAGACGCGTGTACGTTCAGTGTCTAGACGCTTGTACGTTCAGTGTCTAGACGCGTGTATGTTCAGTGTCTAGACGCGTGTACGTTCAGTGTCTAGACGCGTGTACATTCAGTGTCTAGACGCGTGTACGTTCAGTGTCTAGACGTTTGTACGTTCAGTGTCTAGACTCGTGTATGTTCAGTGTCTAGACGCGTGTACGTTCAGTGTCTAGACGCGTGCACGTTCAGTGTCTAGACTCGTGTGCGTTCAGTGTCTAGATGCTTGCACATTCAGTATCTAGACTCGTGTACGTTCAGTGTCTAGACTTGTGTACGTTCAGTGTCTAGACGTTTGTACGTTCAGTGTCTAGACGCGTGTACGTTCAGTGTCTAGACGCGTGTACGTTCAGTGTCTAGACGCGTGTACGTTCAGTGTCTAGATGCGTGTACGTTCAGTGTCTGGACGTTTGTACGTTCAGTGTCTAGACGCTTGTACGTTCAGTGTCTAGACGCGTGTACGTTCAGTCTCTAGACGCGTGTACGTTCAGTGTCTAGACGCGTGTACGTTCAGTGTCTAGACGTTTGTACGTTCAGTGTCTAGACTAGTGTATGTTCAGTGTCTAGACGCGTGTACGTTCAGTGTCTAGACGCGTGCACGTTCAGTGTCTAGACGCTTGCACATTCAGTATCTAGACTCGTGTACGTTCAGTGTCTAGACTTGTGCGCGTTCAGTGTCTAGACGCGTGTACGTTCAGTGTCTAGACGTTTGTACGTTCAGTGTCTAGACGCGTGTGCGTTCAGTGTCTAGACTCGTGTGCGTTCAGTGTCTAGACGCTTGTACGTTCAGTGTCTAGACGCGTGTACGTTCAGTGTCTAGACGCGTGTACGTTCAGTGTCTACATGCGTGTACGTTCAGTGTCTATACGCTTGTACGTTCAGTGTCTAGACGCGTGTACGTTCAGTGTCTAGACTCGTGTGCGTTCAGTGTCTAGACGCTTGTAAGTTCAGTGTCTAGACGCGTGTACGTTCAGTGTCTTGACGCTTGTACGTTCAGTGTCTACATGCGTGTACGTTCAGTGTCTATACGCTTGTACGTTCAGTGTCTAGACGCGTGTACGTTCAGTGTCTAGACGCGTGTACGTTCAGTGTCTAGACGCGTGTATGTTCAGTGTCTAGACTTGTGTACGTTCAGTGTCTGGACGCGTGTATGTTCCGTGTCTAGACGCGTGTACGTTCAGTGTCTAGATGCGTGTACGTTCAGTGTCTAGACGCGTGTACATTCAGTGTCTAGACGCTTGTATGTTCAGTATCTAGACGCTTGTACGTTCAGTGTGTAGACGCGTGTACGTTCAGTATTTAGACGCGTGTACGTTCAGTGTCTAGACACGTGTACGTTCAGTGTCTAGACGCGTGTACGTTCAGTGTCTAGACGCGTGTACGTTCAGTGTCTAGATGCGTGTACGTTCAGTGTCTAGACGCATGTACGTTCAGTGTCTAGATGCGTGTACGTTCAGTGTCTAGACGCGTGTACATTCAGTGTCTAGACACGTGTATGTTCAGTATCTAGACGCTTGTACGTTCAGTGTCTAGACGCGTGTACGTTCAGTATTTAGACGCGTGTACGTTCAGTGTCTAGATGCGTGTATGTTCAGTGTCTAGACGCGTGTACGTTCAGTGTCTAGACGCGTGTACGTTCAGTGTCTAGACGCGTGTACGTTCAGTGTCTAGACGCGTGTATGTTCAGTGTCTAGACTCGTGTATGTTCAGTGTCTGGACGCGTGTACGTTCAGTGTCTAGACTCGTGTATGTTCAGTGTCTATACGCGTGTACGTTCAGTGTCTAGACGCGTGTACGTTCAGTGTCTAGACTCGTGTACGTTCAGTGTCTAGACTCGTGTATGTTCAGTGTCTAGACGCGTGTACGTTCAGTGTCTAGACTCGTGTATGTTCAGTGTCTAGACGCGTGTAGTCCAGTGTCTAGACGCGTGTACGTTCAGTGTCTAGACTCGTGTACGTTCAGTGTCTGGACGCGTGTACGTTCAGTGTCTAGACTCATGTATGTTCAGTGTCTAGACGCGTGTATGTTCAGTGTCTAGGCGCGTGTACGTTCAGTGTCTAGACACTTGTACGTTCAGTGTCTGCACGCGTGCACGCTTCACCTCCACACGCATGCACGTTTCACTGTCTAAAGATGGGACCGCTGCGTTTAAATGCCCCGGCAGCTGTACTTCACTTGACCGCTACCGTTTTACTCCAATGGAAACTCTGTGAAGCAGTCCCAAAACCATTACAGTGTCACTGTCCTTGGAGTAAAAACCCATACATACCTGTCAACCCCTAATCTCATTGCCTACCTTATTACAGACCAATTCATAACTCATTGGTCACCTTGTGCCTTTGTAAATCTCAACGTTCATCCTACAAAGTCCCATCACAAGGGAGAAACACAAACAAATAGGCAAAAAAATGTTGAAACAGTTGTACGTAGGGACCTAAAAACTAAATTTCCCTGTACAAGAATGGGGTAAACCGTATGACAGATATGCAAACAGGCAAAACTCTCGCTCAGACACGGATGGAGCTGCTGCAGTGTGGAACGATCTATGGACACTCAAACACTTAGAGCTGGAGAAGCACGTTCTGTACAAACCAGTGTTGCAAAGCATTTAATTACACTGTGTAACGGAAAAAAATGTTTTGTTCCTGGGTAGTGTTATTTCCTAATTGCTTATGCCTCAAAAGTACAGAAAATGGCTATTATTCCCAACAAACGTTGCTTTTGTGTGGGTAATAATAGCCATTTTCTATCTTTTTTAGGCATAAGCAATTTAAAAATAACACTTAGTACCCAGGAACAAAAATTGTGTTACATAGTGTTATTCATGATTATTTACATGTTTGACGGGACGTGATATTGAATGTGTAAATACATGCTACAGAAGTAATAGATTTAAAATGTTTGTGCACGCGCCATTACACATATGCTGTGCGTGTTTCAATCGACACCCTGGACACCCTTGTAAATGAGAGGTTCCATCTCCAGAATTATTCAGGTGAAATACTCAAATACGATGTGAGAAAATGATTGCAGTTGATGTTACTGCGAGCAACGTAGTATAAACTGCTGTCGACACTGCTGATTAACTTAATTTTCTAGGTCGATCCACGCCGAACTGGCACTCGGCTTACCCGTGTTTGAGTTGTCAGCCTCGTAACGTGGTTGTCTGCGTGAACTGAAATCCCAGCTCCATGGCCTTATCATCCACAAAGCCCTGGCATCGCACGTTGTCCTCTAGGTTTGACTATGTGGAGGTCCGGGATGGGCGAGACACCAACGCAGAAGTTCTGGGCAAGTTCTGCGGGAACATCCCCCCCTCGGCACTCGTCTCCTCGGGCCCGGTGCTCTACATCCACTTCCAGTCGGATTATTCCACCCAGGGCGCTGGCTTCTCACTGAGATTCGAGATACAGGCCACAGGTGGGGCATGACACAAGCCCTCATGCCCACACGCAGACACCACGGACAGTTTTAATCCCTGCTCGATTTGGGAATGTTTTCCTATCGTCTCTTTTCCCAAAAGCTCTTCTAATAAACTTTGCACAGTTTAAGAAATGTGTTTAAATTCTTGATCCATAATTAATATATGGTTTAGGCGACATTGATCAGACTAAATTTGTATCGTTAAGACCCTCCATCACCTGGCACAGACACAATAATCTAATTGGCAGGTATACCAACATTTATTGCGCGAATTGTTGTTTCAGCTCACTTTGACAGTGCTGTTTGCTGCTGGCCGCTTGACATTGGGCCTTTGCTCAGCAACTGTGTTAAAAAAACAGTCACATCCGTTTACCCGTTGTCTTTCCTTTTTCGCAGATGAATGCTCGCACATGTTCACAGCTCCTAATGGCTCGTTGCAGTCTCCGGGCTTCCCTGAGCCCTACAAGCACAATCTGGAGTGCACCTACATCATCAAGGCCTCCGTGCCTCGCTCTGAGATTGTTCTGAAGTTCCACACATTCCTGCTGGAGGGAGACCAGCCTGGCACGGCTGGGATACCAGTGGATGCCACGGAGTGTCGCTACGATCGCCTGGAGATCTGGGATGGGCCCCCACGTGGTGGGTGTGTGTCTGCGTGCGTGTCTTTGTTATGGTGCTTGCTAACTGCATGTGCCCCAAAAGTCTGTCAAAGCTACAGATGGATCTTTGTCTATGTGTGTGGGGAGCCGTGGCGTAGCGTTTGTCTCAGATGAGATCCTCTCTGTGGGGAAGTCTACAGTGGTTCTATGGATGGACATGTCCCAGCCATATGAATGTGGAATGTCCGCCAATGGCTCAGGGCTGTACACAGGAGATGAGCACATTCCTTAATACTTATTTGCCCAACCTAATTTTGACTCCTGTTCTCATGTTGAACAGTGCCAACTCACTCTTCACTTGAATGAATGCCTGTCATGTGCGGTACTGGCTGTGGGTGGGTGACCTCGTGTGTGTGGCTGTGTGTAGGGGGCCCCCTGCTGGGCCGGTTCTGTGGAGCAATGTCTCCTGGCGAAGTGCGGGCCTTCTCGGGAATCCTGTCTCTCTCCTTCTACACCGATGGAGGAATCGCACTTGACGGGTTTTGGGCGACATACCGGGTCATCCCGCGGCGTATCATCGAGTGTGAGTGTCACAAGCGTGGAGCAGTATGCTGCGTTTCAATGCTCGTTCGTTTCAGCTTTATTGTTGACTGTTGCTGCCATTGCAACAATACAATTCTCAAATGATCTTTAGCATCGTTGTGGATAATATAAGTAGCAATATAAATATGCAGACAATATGCTCCCTTTAAACATCTGTTCCTCTACGTTAATATGAAAGTATTTTTACACAGCCTTCTGGGAGTACATAACTTCATCGTTGTTTCAAGCAAGCTGAATCTGCTGGTGACCCTCAACTGCTTTGTAATCATTTGCACAGTCCATGCTGATGATACCAACAACATCAGAAAATGTCACCAAGCTTGCACTTCTCATACAGAATTGCTCTGTGTTGGTATACATCTCCTGGCTATGTGAATTGGCATAAGTCCATGTCAGTGATTTCCCGCTCAAATAAGTGAGCATTGAGGCAGTGCTCATCTCCCGTTTACAGCCCTGAGCTAGTGGTGGAAATTCCACATTCCTATGGAAGGGATGAATCTCTCTTGAAGGCATCCACTGTTGACTTCCCCACAAAGTGGTACTGATTTTATCCACACTTAAGGGACCATGGGCTGAGTCAACCCCAACCAGGGTTTGACCCTTCAACCTTCCAATTGTGAACTGCTCGCTCTAGCGCTGAGCCACCCGGTAATAGCACGTTCGCTGCCCTGCCGATCGCGCAGCTGATGAGGGCGTCCCTGTCCGCTCTGTTCAGCCGTGCAGTGTAACCAGCCGCTGGGCATGGAGTCGGGCAAGGTGGAGGTCGACCGCATCGTAGCCTCCTCGACGCACAGCAGCAGAATGTGGCAGCCTTGGCAGGCTCGCCTGCACAACCCCATCAATGGGTGGACGCCCAGCAGAGATGATCCGCGGGAGTGGATACAGGTGCGAGAGGGTGCGCAATGCGGGTTCTGCCGTGGCTCATTTACGCGCGGTCGAATGCAACGTCTGCTTCAAAGAGGGTTGGTGGATCACACAAATTATTGAAACTCCCAACCCAAGGGTGTTGGGGTTGCCATCTCCCGGCTTTCAAGTTTACGGCAGTAAAGCATGCGGATTCCTTTCTGTCTTTACGAAGATTGAGTGTTACCCCCCTCGAACATGTCGGTTTTCTCCAGGGACTCCGGTTTCTTCCCACATGTAGGAACATTCATTAATGGAGACGGCCAAACATCTCAGTATATAACCACAGAGCTTGGGCAATTGTTGAAGGATCAGCGTGGCAAATGTGAATGTACAACTGGCATGGTAGCCTTAGTCACTGCATGATACAATTGCCCTTGTTCCACAGTTAAAAAGTAAAGATGGAGCCCTGCAATTGCTCACTCATGCCAACGCTGCTGGAAGGGCATCCACTCGATGGCGCTCTAGAGAGTGTTTGGTCTACTCTTCTATGCTGACCAAACGTCTTGGAAGAGATGGCAGTGGGGGGATTTGAGAAACTTGCTGTCTTGAGATCAAGTTGGCAACCTCTGGATTGAAATCCAGGTGTGCTCACCATTACACTGCTGTGGCTGCTCCCTTGATTTCTTAGTTGAAAAGTTAAACTGTGATGCTTTTTGCTCTAGAGATTGGTGTACGTGTGTTAAACTGTTTTTAACCGTTTATTTATTTTACAGTTATATTCATGTGGTTACCGGGAATGCAAAAATCCCTACTTCCAAGTCGCCTGCTGAATGGAGAGTTTACTGCACTGACATTTAACCTTGCACTGTCGTTACAGGTGGATCTGGGGTCATTGAAGCTGTTGAGTGGCGTGGCTACACAGGGGGCCGTGTCGCATGAATCACAGATTGGCTACTTTGTCAGCTCCTTTCGACTGGAGGTCAGCAGCTTGGGAGCTGACTGGACAGTGCTCAGAGGGAGCAGAGCCGTGAAGGTACGCAGCGCCACGCCACCCCACGTCACATCACTGCACGGCATACCCTGCGGGCACACCAGACAACACCACTCCACACGTAACACCCCACGATACACCCCCACGGCACACCACAAGGCACACCGCATGGAACACCCTGCGGCACATTAGGTAACACTCCATACATAAGACTCCACGGCACACCCCCACAGCACACCGCATGGCACACCCTGTAGCGCACCCTGCGGCACACCGCATGGCACACCGCATGGCACACCCCACGGCACACCCCCACAGCACACCACATGGCACACCGCATGGCACACCCCACGGCACACCCCCACAGCACACCACATGGCACACCGCATGGCACACCCTGCAGTAAACCTTTCGGCACACCTTACAGTATGCAAGGAGGCACATCGCTTGCTACATTGTATCACACCGCATGGCACATTCTACAACACACTACATGGCACATCACACAGCACCGGATATGATTCAACATGAAGCATTCAGGGTCGTTGATAATCCAGATCTCACTGAGTCACTCTAGTCAACTGCTTTCCATCAGTGAGTTGCCTCATCACTCTTCTATTGCTGCTAGCAAGGTTACTGTTTCCTTGAACAACACATTTATTGATAGAAAATACATTCTTCAAAAAAAATATTTTTAACATGAGAAATATATATCTACCTTTTAAAAAATCTGTCTTTTGAATGAGTTAGTTTAGCGTGCAAACGAGGTCGTGAAGACATCTTATACTGGTAGGAACGAAGTTGTAAACTGAGTGTACCAGCCTGCAATAGATTAATGTGTCCGTCCGTCCCCTTTCAATACTTTAACGAAGTGAAATTTTGTGCTGTTGGGTGTAAAATCAGCAATAGACAGCGCAGAGACTTGTCCTACCAGCCCACCCTGCAGGGACCTGTTTTCCACCTTATAAAAATTGCTCGACTGCGTTCTGTTCTTCCATCCTCTGACGCAGAGTGGCTGGTACATGCATTTGTATTTTCGCGGATTGACACCTCGTTGTTTTGGGTTCAGAGTGTGGTCCTTGGTAGCATCCAGGGTGATCACTCGCACCCCATGGCTGCGAGAACTCATCTCATCTTCTGTGCTTGCATCGTTGCATTGGCTTCCCTGTGTCTTTAGTTGAGTGGTTGTAAGACCTTGCGAGGGCTTACTGCTCGCGGTGCCTATGCGCTAACCAGCGGTCACCCAACCACCGCTAGAGTTGGTACTACAGCCCATAACCCGGGCTGCCCGCAATCACAACGTTTCCGGCTGTGACTTCGCAAGCCCGGCACCATACAGTGACAAGTACAGTCACTACACATGTGTCGTGACATGGAATTGGTCACTACGTAGCATAGCGCTGGTTACTGGCAGAGAAGGGGATCTGCAGTTGCAGTAGCCCTGTCTGTCAGCAGGTCACGTGATAAACCAGAGAGAGGGATGTAGGGGAAAAGTTCCAGAGAGGGCACGTGAGGGAAGCTCGGGAAGCCGCTAGTAGGTTCCAGAAGGGGGGCGTGGCCGGGGCGGAGCCAGGCCACGCTGAGAGGATAAAATGGGATGTTGCCTGGAGTGGCATCCCATTGTGCTGCTGGAGTCTTGTCGTCGTCAACGTCCTCAATCGAAAACCAAGACGACGCAACAGCAGATAATTTTCTCACCTGATGACGGACGCTTGTGTTGCGACCGAAACGTCGTGTTTCTTTTATTATTTTTTCTATCTACGTGACTTTACCGAAAGAACCAGAGAGTATGTTTACAAATTGCTCCACAGACTATCTTTATGTATGAGTGAGTGATATGCGGACGTATGGTGGTGGTGGCACAGGCATTTGCTGGGAATGTGGACGCCACGTCTGTGGTGGAGAACCGACTGGCAGAGCCTGTGCTGACCCGCTTCGTTAGAATTCGTCCACAAACCTGGGAGGGAGGCATCGCCCTGAGGTTCGAACTGTATGGCTGCAGCCTGGCAGGTGAGCCGCCGTCAACACAGCCAAACGTGGCCAGAACTCACTGATACGGGCCCCAAGATACTGCTCGTCAGATTGAAGCTATGGCCTCTGTGAACTGTACCCAGCATTGGTTCTGGGATTCAGCAGCTCGGCGACTGTGTTAAATCACTTGTGCCAAATGTGATGTTACGTGGCTTCGTGAAGTAACTGCAAAAGTGGAGAATACACATCCTTGTATTTGTCTGCATGTATATAAAAAAATCAGTATTTTTTTGACATCCCATCAGCCACTGTGCCTTCTGGGAGTGCCTATAAACATCTGGCAATCCAGCAGCATTGATTTAAGCAAGCCTCACTGCTGATGAAGTACTTCATGTTGAAACCGGTCCAGCGGTTGCTTGTACCAATTAAGCTGTTTGAGTGTTTACTCCAGGGACAGTTGAATTGTTATGATTTTGGAATGGATATTGTTGCAGTAAATCGACAGCTGTGGAGTGAATTGAGAGGAGGCATCTAATAGTGTACGCACGTGGACAGGGGGTCCAGTGAGGCAATCGTCTTCTACTGTGGGGGGGAGAGCCACGTCGAGTTCTCTTGCATGAGGCACTGGTACACTCTAGTTGCACTGTCACATAGATCTGCAAGGAGAGTTGGAGACAGTTTTCATTTAAAGCGAGTCTGAGAGGCAGTTAAATAGACAGCGTCGACATAGTTGAGGGCAGGGAACAACATCTAGACAACCAACTTTCCTGCGGACCAATGGCGGAGCCAGGATTTTCAGGTAGTGGGGGGCCAACCCCTCCAGCAATCAAAAATGATAGGAGTTGTTAGTAAGTAAGGACTTGTCCCTTGCTTTTCATTCGACGCGTGTGCGGCGATGCCGCAGCCATCGATCGAGGGTCAAATTCGAACCGCGTCGTGTGATCAGCATCGTGCTCGCTGAAGGTGAATGCCTTCAGGGAAGTCGTGTACTGTATACGCAACTGCACACAATTCTGCGAGTCACTTATAACTGCTTTGCCGTTACTTATTGCCAATTATGGACTCAGACTATTGTCCTATCATCTCATATAGTTCCTGGCACGTAATAATATGCTACACAGTGGCAGTGAGGGTCGCAAAATGCCGATTTATTACTAATAAACCCCAATGATCCGATCGAAATTAGGTATTTCGATCGGATCATTGGGGGGGCATGTGCCACCCCCCCCCCCCCTCCACTGGCTCCGCCAGTGCTGCGGACCATCATCGACGTGCAGATCCCATTTCTGTATAATGCACAAAGTCCATAGTTGGTGTTGTGCATTAGTCTGTCAATGTGGATATTAAAATACATTTGAAAATCAATATATATTCCTGGCTAACTAAATTAACTGACATTTTCTAGAGGTATATAGTCACGTAGTGAGATTTAAATTGATTTCTTGTGGAGGACAGCCTTTTCTTCTTGCCCAAACTATAGCCGTTGAAATGTGAAAAAAGTTCTACGTATATAACATTGGCACCTGTGCCCATTGTCCAGCACCACGACTCATTACACGTGTAAATGGCGATCGGCTGTGATGCAAAAGTTAATTGATGTCGCCCTCTGCTGTTTGTGTCTCCACAACGCCACAACGGAGCAGACTTCCCCTGCTTAGAGACGCTGGGCGTGGGGCAGGGCCACGTGCCGGACAACGCTCTCTCGGCCTCGTCACAGTGGAGCCCTCCGTGGGGAGCCCACGCCGCTCGCCTGCTGGCCCCCCAACGAGGCTGGGCTCCGCACATGGCTGGGCTATTCTCATTTGACGAGTGGCTGCAGGTAGCGCTTTGAGCACTTGAACACACACCGCACGCGTGCGCGTGACACAGGGAGCCACCACTGAATGTGACAGCCAGAGGTGGCATGTTCGCTGTCTTTTGCAGCTATTCCAACATGGCAGGCTGCCTTGATTTATACTGAAGGTGTATTAATAATGGATTTCACCATATTCACTACATAGGGAAACACAGTTAATCGCCACCCTCTATTGCGAACACTTGAGGCTTGGTGAGGCTTGCCTGGGTAAATAAGCATAGTCAAAATAATACTACTACACTTATGCTGTTGAGACTGCTCTTGAATAATTTTCTGAATCTCACGGTAATATATAGTGATAGAAAGAGCTTTGGTGGCTATGCTGCATGCCTGTAATCCAATAATGTGGAGGCGAGAGTTGGTGGATCACACAAATCTGTGAAATTTCTAACCTGTGGGTGTCGAGGTTTTCATTTTCCGGCTTGCCAGATTATGGCAGTGAAGCAAGTTTATTAATTTATATTCCTTCTGTACGGGTGTTGAGTGTTACCCCCTCGCACACGTGTTACCTCCTCGTGTTGAGTGTTACCCCCTCGTGTTGAGTGTTACCCCCTCGCACACATGGGTTTTCTCAGGGTACTCCGTTTCCTCCCACATCTATTAGCAATTGTTAAAGGAGTTGGTTAAACATCACAAAGTAGGACCACAGAGCTTAGGCAATTGTTGTCGCTGATTCTGGCTCTTCCCGCTTCCCTGTGTTTTCCCACGCAGGGCTCTGTGCAAAAAACTTGCGACACGTTACACATCCTGAAGCGTGTTAAAATGGAACTTGAATGAATGATACTTTATACCATTATTATCTGGAAAATCTGCTTTGCTGTGATATTGCTGTGCATTTCAGGTGGACTTGGGCAGCCTGTTTACAGTGCGAGGGGTGATTCTTCAGGGAGTGCGTGGGGATCTGGTGAATCGGAGTGGGAATGATGATGCCAGTCAGGGCACTCAGGACAAGCCGGAGGGCCCCCTGTTTGTGAAGAAATTCCGCGTGGGATTCAGCGAAGACGGAGACACCTGGCACATGGTCACAGATGACGAGTCTTCGCAGCCCAAAGTGAGAACCCTAAGCTGCTAATTTGAATAAAAATTAGCCAAAACTATGCCTCTTTCCAGATCTGTTCCTCCACATAAACAAATAAGTGTTTTTCTTTTCGACATCCCATCTGCTACACAGCCTTCTGGGAGTAAATGTTTCAGCAGCATTGGTTTGATATAGGCACACTCTGAACAAGTTTTGACAGTAACTCATGAGCTGAGTCAGGCTTACTTGAACCAATGTTGGTGAACTGCCAGATGTTTATAGACAAGGACTCTCTCTGTTAGATATGGGTCTTGTTACAATGTAATTTATATTAATCAGTGTTCATTGTAGAGCATACAGTGAGGGAAAAAAGTATTTGATCCCCTGCTGATTTTGTACGTTTGCCCACTGACAAAGAAATGATCAGTCTATAATTTTAATGGTAAGTTTATTTGAACAGTGAGAGACAGAATAACAACAAAAAAATCCAGTTAAACGCATGTCAAAAATGTTATAAATTGATTGGCATTTTAGTGAGGGAAATAAGTATTTGACCCCCTCTCAATCAGAAAGATCTCTGGCTCCCAGGTGTCTTTTATACAGGTAACGAGCTGAGATTAGGAGCACACTCTTAAAGGGAGTGCTCCTAATCTCAGCTTATATAAAAGACACCTCTCCACAGAAGCAATCAATCAGATTCCAAACTCTCCACCATGGCCAAGACCAAAGAGCTCTCCAAGGATGTCAGGGACAAGATTGTAGACCTACACAAGGCTGGAATGGGCTACAAGACCATTGCCAAGCAGCTTAGTGAGAAGGTGACAACAGTTGGTGCGATTATTCGCAAATGGAAGAAACACAAAAGAACTGTCAATATCCCTCGGCCTGGGGCTCCATGCGAGATCTCACCTCGTGGAGTTGCAATGATCATGAGAACGGTGAGGAATCAGCCCAGAACTACACGGGAGGATCTTGTCAATGATCTCAAGGCAGCTGGGACCATAGTCACCAAGAAAACAATTAGTAACACACTACGCCGTGAAGGGCTGAAATCCTGCAGCGCCCGCAAGGTCCCCTGTTCAAGAAAGCACATATACATGCCTGTCTGAAGTTTGCCAATGAACATCTGAATGATTCAGAGGACAACTGGGTGAAAGTGTTGTGGTCAGATGAGACCAAAATGGAGCTCTTTGGCATCAACTCAAATCGCCGTGTTTGGAGGAGGAGGAATGCTGCCTATGACCCCAAGAACACCATCCCCACCGTCAAACATGGAGGTGGAAACATTATGCTTTAGAGGTGTTTTTCTGCTAAGGGTACAGGACAACTTCACCGCATCAAAGGGACGATGGACGGGGCCAGGTACCGTCAAATCTTGGGTGAGAACCTCCTTCCCTCAGCCAGGGCATTGAAAATGGGTCGTGGATGGGTATTCCAGCATGACAATGACCCAAAACACACGGCCAAGTCAACAAAGGAGTGGCTCAAGAAGAAGCACATTAAGGTCCTGAGGGGCCTAGCCAGTCTCCAGACCTTAATCCCATAGAAAATCTGGAGAGGGAGCTGAAGGTTCGAGTTACCAAACGTCAGCCTCGAAACCTTAATGACTTGGAGAAGATCTGCAAAGAGGAGTTGGACAAAATCCCTCCTGAGATGTGTGCAAACCTGGTGGCCAACTACAAGAAACGTCTGCCCTCTGTGATTGCCAACAAGGGTTTTGCCATCAAGTACTAAGTCATGTTTTGCAGAGGGGTCAATTACTTATTTCCCTCATTAAAATGCAAATCAATTTCTAACATTTTTGACATGCGTTTTTCTTGATTTTGTTGTTGTTATTCTGTCTCTCATTGTTCAAATAAACCTACCATTAAAATTATAGACTGATCATTTCTTTGTCAGTGGGCAAACGTACAAAATCAGCAGGGGATCAAATACTTTTTTCCCTCACTGTATTAGTCACAAAGTATATAAGTAGTCTACATATCCTGTACATATCTGTCCCCACGTGAATAAATAAAAGTTGCTTGTATAAAATCAACTTGACTGAAAAACATCACTCCCTGAAGGCCTGGTGGCTGATGGGATGAGTATTTTTTAGACGTGGAGGAATGGACATTGAAAAGAGGCATATTTGTCTGCTTATATCTTGATTTGAAGCTTTCATGACTGCAGGAATCCATACTCTTTGGTTCTTTTGGTAAAGTCACATGGGTAGAAATAAAATAAAATAAAACAAATCACGACAATTCGATCGCAACACAAGCGACGACCGCTTGTGTTGCGATCGAAACGTCGTGATCTGTTTTTTTTATTTCTAACTACGTGACTTTACCAAAAGAACCAAAGAGTATACGTTTAGTTTCTTATATTGTGTACGATGACACAAATGCTTATCTTGTACTCATAAGAATGCCGGCTTGTATATTTGTGCTCGAGTATTGTGTGTGCATGTCCTGTGTGTATGTGCGTATGCAGATTTTTAATGGTAGCAGCAATGTCGATCTGCCGGAGATGCGCAAGTTCGAGCCCGTGGAGGCGCGGCTGGTGCGTGTGTACCCGGAGCGGTGGTCCCCGCACGGCATCGGCTTGCGTCTGGAGCTGCTGGGCTGCCAGTCTCTGGGTGAGACGTCGGGCCGCACATTCTTACGTGTTTGTGCGCACGCGTGAGTGTGAGGAGTGATTCTGCACGGTGGTTATGTGTGCCGCACTGCAAACTTCCGGCGACCCAAGTGCGATTCCAGCTCACGGCCAACATCAGGGACAAATATCAGAACTGATTTTAGGTCGACTCAGCCTTAAATGAGTACCTGGAGTGGTGTATAAACATCACTGCTTTGGAGACAAAGGCATCTGGGCATGGTGTTGGCCACACCACCCTCTTGTGGGATGTGTTGGCCTTCATTGAAGCTCGCTAACAGCACTTGCCTCAACAGCCTGATACGCTTGTAATGGGGATATTTGTCTTTTCCACTTCTTGAAGTGGCAGCTATTTTTGGTGAGTACATACTTCGAGTGGTGACGACAGCTGTGTAGGTGGGTAAACACTTGTTTTATTCAGAGTATTTTAGGATATGCTGCTGATAAACAGACATTTTGCTCAAAAAACAAACTGACATTCCTTGACCATACTGTCAGTAACAGAGATGTAACGCAGTTTCAAACATATGTTTGGGGAGAGAAACTTCAAGGAGGTTGTGGCCATGAGCAAAAAATATTAAAAAGAGATTGAATGGGGTTTTGGTATTGGCTTGGCGCATACAATGAGAGTCACTTTCATGTGTGGTTGCGTGTCCTGGAATATGTATTCATCTGTGTTGTGACTAACCCTGTCAGATAATGGTGAGGATGAGGTGGACCCAGGTCAGCCAAAGAAAGATGGCCCTCCTGGACCGGAGCCTCCCTACAGCCTTGACAACGACCCAGGTAGGGAGAGGAGGGCGGCACCGGTTAGTGCTGAGTGTCACTGGACCGCACAACACGGCATTGACACCACTCTTAGAAAGTGAGCTTGCCAAATTTATTGTTTATTTCACTTGTTTTTCCGGGAATGCCTCACTGAATCTCCCCGATCTTTTTTTCAGAAGGGCCCTGCCAAGTTGTCGCAGTTGGGGAAAACAGTAGCTTTGTGGTTATCCCCTTCAGTAAATTGCGAGTAACTTTTCAAACTTGGCAAAATCTCAACCATGATGCTGCCACACTGTGATACCGACTGTTCTTCGAATTATGTCGTGGGAGTTTTGACGTCCACTGTGAAGTGAACGGTGCAGAGTATTTTATAATTTAAAAAGCCCGCCATCATAATCAGGGCAGCCTGCTGGAATCAAACCGAGAAATTCTGCAACAAGCGGCGAACTCATTGGGCAATGTCATCCTTACACTTGTCTTTGCGCTGTGTGTAGCATTCCAGCTCCTGTGACACACAGTGCATGCGTAATGAACAAATGTGTTTCTTTAGGTTCGTATGATGCTGGGGAGACAATTGCAAATTATACAGGTGAGATGTCCCCTGTGAGTAATGCTGTTTTACTTGTCATTAATGAATAGCATTATTTATTTCTAAATGAACAAGTGTGACAACTAAAGTCAAAGGTCAAAGTGATTTCCACTAAATGAGCATTGAGGCGGTACTCATCTCCTGTTTACTGCCCTGAGCCGGTGGTGGCAATTCTACATTCCTATGGTGGAGATGAGTCTATCTATAGGACAACCACTATTGACTCCCCAAAAAGTGGTACTTATTTGATCAACCCCAGAGGGATAATGGGCTGAATCATCCTCCAACCAGGAGTTGAACACGCAACCTTCTGATTGCAAGCCGCTCCCTACTGCTGAATCAACTGGTCGGTTTATATAATCGGTGAAGCTACTTGGTGAGTGTATTCGGTGCATCTTTTACATGTATCTGTTATGTGTATCTGCTCAGTGTATCTGTTCAATGTACCATTGCGGTGTATCTACATGTAAAATCTACGCGGTGTATCTACTTGGTGTTGGATATTGCAGAGTTCCACATCCCAGCAAGGAGTCAAGACGACAGGGAGGATGGTGATGGGGTCATCCTGGAAGGGTGGGGACCTGGCTCAGGGGTCCCCGGATTCAACTGCGAGTTTCATCTGGGCGCGGATGGAGGGATGTGCAGCTGGATTCAAGATGACCAGGCTGACCTTCACTGGCTGCTCGGAGATGCAGAAGTCGAGGGGGAGGAGGAGGACATCCACCATGACAGTAAATGTTATTCTGCTTTAAAACAGATGTAGGAGGGAGATGTATACACACTCACACTTGGGGTGGTTGGCTAGTGCCAGGACCAGAGCCACCAACAATGACACAAAAGAATCATAAGCTTTGGATCTTTCAGTAAAGTCACGTAGTTATTTTATTTTATTTCTAACTACGTGACTTTACCGAAAGAACCAAAGAGTATGGATTCCTGCAGTCACAAAAGCTTCAAATCAAGATAGAATCATAAGGGTCGATGTAAATAATATAAATATAATATAAATTACTAAATAATTAAGCAGACACTATGTCTTCTTGTCATATCTATAAAAGATAAAAGGACAAATCCCATCAACCACATGGCCTTTTAGGAGTGATTTTTTTCCAGCAGCATTGGTTAAATACAAGTAAACTCTGGACTTGATTCAACATTCATTGTCTCACCAGCAGTCAGTCGTACTTCTTATTCATACTAGTGAACGACCAAATGTTCATAGGCAAGGACCCTATCTGTTTGATACAAAACTATATAATACACAACACTAACTATTAATTTGCGTCAAGGTGGAGAATATGAGCATTACAATACGATTAAACCTTCCAAACAGCATTCTTTTCGTAATACATGTCTTGTGTCTCCTGCAGAGGGAGATGGATGCGTGTGGATCAACACTCTGGGAAGGGCTGCGGGTGAGCGAGCACGCCTGCTCAGTGTGCCGCTGCCCTCTCATGCGCAGCCTCGCTGCCTCGCCTTCCGCTACCGCCTGCACGGAGACACGCTGGCCACCAGCGCCGGAGTGGACTCGCTGCGAGTGCTGACGCGCACGCAGACTCCCATGGGCATGCGGGAGCAGCTGGTGTGGAGCCTGACCGGTGTCCAGGGGCGGGAATGGAGATTGGCACATGCCGTCTTGCCAATCAACTACGGCCCTTACCAGGTTCTCAACAATCTCTTCAGTGACAAAAGCAGTGTCATCTGACCTGGCATGGAACGGTCGTGACTAATCTAGCTAAGGGAGCAGACAGCATGTCTGCATGCTGTAGGACTCGGTACACCATATGTTTCCTCTCACCAACCACCCCTCCTACTGTCTCTCTTCCTAAGCTCTTATAACCTCTTGCTTCATTCAAGAAACGTGTTGACTATTTATGTATTACAACTTTGATTGTGCTATTTGGCTGCTTGACGTACTGGGCCTTTGGGGCCTGTGTGTCTTAGTTTATGTATCTATGTGTGTAGCTGTGTGTGCCTGTGTATATGGCAGTGTATGTGCGGGTACCTAGTGTGATAAACATCGTCACTAGGGAGACAAAGGCGGCTGGGCGTGGTGCTGGTGACCCACCCCCTCATGTGCTATGCCGGCCTTCATAGGCGCTTGCTCACAGCACTTGCCGCAACAGTCTGTTTTTGTATATGTCTGTGCATGTAGTTCCAGATCTTTCTGGAATATCTGGACACATTCCCATCAGTGAGCTCCAGTAGACGAGACTGTTGGCTGGGTTATGTACCCCACATGCTCATCCACCGTGTGCCCAAGCAGCTTTTGTTTGGCCGGATATAGGGGGCTAACGGGCATGACGCGGGCTAAATAAGAAATAGACTGATGTGGTACAGGAGGATATGGAGTTGAGTGAAATTACCAACGACTGGTACAAGCAGTGTCAAAATCAGCCTCGATATAGAAGGTTTGTGAAAGACGCTACTAGGCAGTTGGAGGCACTCACCCTTCAACAACAATAGAGGGTGGAGGGGCAATGCTCACAACAATGAGCTGAGCGCCAGGTGGCTTAAATTCAGCAAGCTGCCACAGTGGGGAGCACAGTTTGTGCATCTGCCAGTCATCTCAGTCAACTTGTAGCACTTGAGTTTGGTCCATGACCTGCTGCCAGTGAATCTTTGATGCTTCACATGGCCTCAAAGTGCACCTAAAAACTAAACTAAACTTTTTATTTGACCAGGCAAGGGAGACTGAGCTATATAGCTCTTCTTCAGAGCTATATACAGTGAGGGAAAAAAGTATTTGATCCCCTGCTGATTTTGTACGTTTGCCCACTGACAAAGAAATGATCAGTCTATAATTTTAATGGTAGGTTTATTTGAACAATGAGAGACAGAATAACAACAAAAAAATCAAGAAAAACGCATGTCAAAAATGTTAGAAATTGATTTGCATTTTAATAATGGAAATAAGTATTTGACCCCCTCTCAATCAGAAAGATTTCTGGCTCCCAGGTGTCTTTTATACAGGTAACGAGCTGAGATTAGGAGCACACTCTTAAAGGGAGTGCTCCTAATCTCAGATTGTTACCTGTATAAAAGACACCTGTCCACAGAAGCAATCAATTAATCAGATTCCAAACTCTCCACCATAGTCAAGACCAAAGAGCTCTCCAAGGATGTCAGGGACAAGATTGTAGACCTACACAAGGCTGGAATGGGCTACAAGACCATTGCCAAGCAGCTTAGTGAGAAGGTGACAGCAGTTGGTGCGATTATTCGCAAATGGAAGAAACACAAAAGAACTGTCAATCTCCCTCGGACTGGGGCTCCATGCAAGATCTCACCTCGTGGAGTTGCAATGATCATGAGAACGGTGAGGAATCAGCCCAGAACTACACGGGAGGATCTTGTCAATGATCTCAAGGCAGCTGGGACCATAGTCACCAAGAAAACAATTGGTAACACATTATGCCGTGAAGGGCTGAAATCCTGCAGTGCCCGCAAGGTCCCCTGCTCAAGAAAGCACATATACATGCCCGTCTGAAGTTTGCCAATGAACATCTGAATGATTCAAAGGACAACTGGGTGAAAGTGTTGTAGTCAGATGAGACCAAAATGGAGCTCCTTGGCATCAACTCAAATCGCCATGTTTGGAGGAGGAATGCTGCCTATGACCCCAAGAACACCATCCCCACCGTCAAACAGGGAGGTGGAAACATGCTTTGGGAGTGTTTTTATGCTAAGGGTACAGGACAACTTCACCGCATCAAAGGGACGATGGACGGGGCCAGGTACCGTCAAATCTTGGGTGAGAACCTCCTTCCCTCAGCCAGGGCATTGAAAATGGGTCGTGGATGGGTATTCCAGCATGACAATGACCCAAACCACATAGCCAAGTCAACAAAGGAGTGGCTCAAGAAGAAGCACATTAAGGTCCTGAGGGGCCTAGCCAATCCCCAGACCTTAATCCCATAGAAAATCTGGAGAAGGAGCTGAAGGTTCGAGTTACCAAACGTCAGCCTCGAAACCTTAATGACTTGGAGAAGATCTGCAAAGAGGAGTTGGACAAAATCCCTCCTGAGATGTGTGCAAACCTGGTGGCCAACTATAAGAAACGTCTGACCTCTGTGATTGCCAACAAGGGTTTTGCCACCAAGTACTAAGTCATGTTTTGCAGAGGGTCAAATACTTATTTCGCTCATTAAAATACAAATCAATTTATAACATTTTTGGCATGCGTTTTTCTGGATTTTTTTTTTATTCTCTCTCTCACTGTTCAAATAAACCTACCATTAAATTATAGACTGATCATTTCCATACTCTTTGGTTCTATTCGGTAAAGTCACGTAGGTAAAAAATAAAACAACAAAAATCACGACGTTTCGGCCACAACACAAGCGGCCCTCATCAGGTGAAGGGACCAGGCTGTCTCGAGGACAGCGCTGGAGTGAAACAGCCACGCTCAGACCGCGGACCTTTAAGCTGTGTGCGAGGAAACAAGGTGCCTTGCCAAAGGAATTAGCATAAAAATTAGCATTTGATTGGCTGACTTAGCATAGAGGTGGTGTACGTGCGGGTGCACTTGCCGTTTGGCGCGGGGGGGGGGGGGGGGAGTTTACTTATTGATGGTGTGAAAAGGGAATTTTTAAGAGCTGCGAAGTTTGGGGTACCACTACTTGAAAAATATACTGTACCATTGAAAATTAGTTTAATGTTTAGTTCGATTTAGAACATCTTTCCAATGGTTTGCTTAATTGAAACCATCTTCTCGGTTGAAATTGTGTCTGTGTTTGTAGATCTGAATTGCCTCGTGAACAAATCTCTGATAAAAATCCGTGGGTTTGCAAAGAACCTTGGTATCGGAGAAAATTATATCGTGATGACCCACAGCGTTGTAACAGTGATCAGCTACGGCAGAAGAATTCGTTTTGCCGTGTTTCAAATCTGATTTGTGCTCGCGAATTCGGTCAGAGACGTGTCCCTTTGTCTCCCCGATATAGCAATCACCGCAGGTACAACTCAATTTGTAAACCCCGGGGTACTGTAAGTCAGAAATGACATCCTTCACGGATGGGATCAGATCACGAATTTTGTGTACTGTATTGTTCCGGACCTGGATCTTGTGTTTGTTTAGAATTTTGGAAATCTTTTTAGTAACGCCTGCTATATATGGTAGTGTGATGGTTTTGACCGGAGTATCAAGTGGTTGTTTCTGTATGGAGGGAGAAACAGCTTGGCGGATGGTACGGTCAGAGTATCCATTCCTTTTGAGGGCCAGGTGTACATGTTTTAATTCACTGTTCAGGTGGTGTTGGTCCGAAATGCAATGAGCCCTATGGTATAAAGTTTTGATGAGATAATTCTTTTGGGCTGGGTGGTGGTGAGAATCAGGTTTCAAGTAGGAATCTGTGTGGATGGGTTTCCTGTAGACAGAATGCCCCAATGAGCCATCAGGTCTCCTCTCAAACAGAACATCTAAGAATGGTAGCTTGCCATCTTTCTCCACTTCTATGGTGAATTTGATGCGGGATGTCTGGAATTGATATGGTGTAGGAAAAGGTTCAGAGCTGGGAGGCCATGTGGCCAAATGACGAAAGTGTCATCCACATATCTCTTCCACAGGGAAGGTCTGAGGGTGGAAGTCTGGATGGCATCTGATTCAAATTTCTCCATGAAAATATTGGCTATCACTGGTGACAAGGGGGATCCCATGGGGGTACCCTCATTTTGTTTGTAGAAGGAGCCATTTCAAGTAAAGTAGGTATTGTTGAGGCAGTGCCTAACCAGTGCAGGTGTGTCGGGGTCTAGTCCATGTTGGACCAAATTTTTAATTATTTCAATGGTATCAGGTACTGGGACCTTGGTGAACAAAGAGACTACATCGAAGCTGACAAGGATATCGTCAGGGGACAGTACAACGTCTTTGACCATAGAGGCCAATTGGGCTGAGTTAAGTACTGCTGAGGCGGTCTTGCCAGTGAAAGGCAGCAAGGTATCTGACAGAAAACGGGCTAGTCTATAGGTAGGGGAGTTGATCGTGGATACGATGGGTCGTAGTGGGGTGCCTTCTTTATGAATCTTGGGAAGACCATAGAATCTAGGGGGTCTTGCAGCAGAAGGTTTTAGGGAGGGACGTTTAGTTGGGTCGATTAGGGAGGTCGAACTTGTGATGATCTTGTTGGTTTTTATTGCTAGGCTATTGGTAGGCTCATTTTTAATTTTTGAGTAACTTCCATCGTTGAGCAGATTCTGGATTTTGTTGTTGTATGTATCTTTATCCATAATTACAGTAGCGTTGCCTTTATCGGCTGAGAGGATGAGTATATCACTTCTGTTTTCAAATTCGCGAGTTCAGAGCATTCATTTTTGCTGATGTTACTAATGGGTTTCTTAGCATTATTAAGAATAGTGGTTATTTCAGCTCTCGCAACGTCTGCTTGGATGTGTCCTACGCCTTTGAGGGCTACATCGACCTGAGAGATGATATCATCTACTGGTATGTGTTTTGGGGTGACAGCAAAATTCAGTCCCCTAGCCAGTACTGTTTTCAGATTGTCCGAAATCGGGGTGCTACTCTGATTAATGACGATTTTGTTAACATCTAGTTTTGTTATTGTGGACCTGGGTTCTTCTTTGATAGGTGGTTGAATTTAGAAATCAGGTTAGCGTTACATTTGGCTGACAGTGAATCAGCGGAAAAAGCAGTCATGTTGTCTACGTGATTCCAATCAGAAGGTGATATTTTGTGTTAACATTAAATGAGCTTGTAGGAGAGTCCTGTCTAAAGTATCGAGTTCAAATCGGAGTAGCCTTATCCTCTCTGAGATTAAAGATATGCTGGCCTTAAACAGAATCTGTTTAGAATTCGGAGAAGATACAGCAGCAGAAGTGAGTGTGAAAGCGATGGGTATTACCTTGTGATCGCGACATCTGATCATTTCTTTGTCAGTGGGCAAACGTACAAAATCAGCAGGGGATCAAATACTTTTTTCCCTCACTGTAGCTCTTTTTCAGAAGCAATATGGCCACAAATGATAGCTCAACGAAGTGTCTTATCATGTGGAAATTTATTTCAGCCAAATACTCTAAATGCATGTTTCTAAATGTAGAGGCAAAAATCGGAGGATCCAGAAAAAAATCCACGCAACCACGGGGAGAACATGCAAACTCCAAATATACAGCAGGCATCAGGGTCGAGATAGAACCCTTCCCCCACCCCTTCGATTATCATGGTTGTCTACATACAGTGCCGAAGAAGTTCAACATAATACAACCTCCTGTATACAGAGTAAGGTCGTTAACATCTTGCCACCGTGGCACCCAGCCTAGAACAAGCGCCATTGTGACTTTAACACGTAGGCTTTCGCGACCAATATTATTCATAATAAAGGTTTTTGGGTTAGATCGCGTTATTTATAAATGTGTCGTAACCCTCTACCACCCGACACGGCCAATCAGCAAAAAAGTGTCACGTTGACAAAAGACAAATAGTTCACTACTTTAGCCCACCGGTGTGTTGAAGAGTGAATACAACAACATATACAGTTTGAGTACGACGTTTCGCTGATGTAATTACATCAGCGAAACGTCGTACTCAAACTGTATATGTTGTGTATTCACTCTTCAACACACCGGTGGGCTAAAGTAGTGAACTATTTGTCTTTTGTCAACGTGACACTTTTTTTGCTGATTGGCCGTGTCGGGTGGTGGAGGGTTACGATACATTTATAAAGAACGCGATCTAACCCAAAAACCTTTATTATGAAGCGCCATTGTGACGTTACAGCC